AAGCAGCCAGGCTGTTCGTGTGTGACATAATTTGGTGCACAACCAGCACATCATTTTAGCGGGTCAAAGACTTTAAGCATCAAACAGGTTTCTGTAACCTCAAACAGGAAAAGGGAGATGCCAAAGACGAGTCATTTCAGTTATTTCTAGATCCCTGAATCAATAAGTTTCACTGAGGAATTTGTGAACCATAAGCTTTACTTTTGAGTTCTTTTTTTTTTTTTTAATCATAAAGACCAATATCCCATGAAGTTAGAAAGTAGTTGAATTGGTCTTCCTCTGACAAGACCGCCACAAAAGTCTCAACAGTGCAATACGAAACTAAACACGGCCTCTTACCTTGCATTCTTAATTTTTTAAACCAATAGATGATATCCGTGAGGAATGGAAATCAGAGACCAGTTGATACATTTCAAGTGTGAAATAGGAAAATCTTGTTTTACTTTGGGCTTTTAAGAGGCAGTCACCTCTTTCACATTCCATACATTTTTTAAGACAGGCTAATTTTACCTTCTAGTCAACTTTATTTCTTCTCTATCCATACTACCACTACCCTCCTAGGCTGTCATCATTTACCACTTAAATCGAACTTATTCCCTGCCTTCGAGCAGCTGTCAGAATGACCTACATGAAACACTCAATTGCCATGTTACTCCCCCTGCCTAAAACCTTTCTAACCTTGCAGTGCCTACAGTTACCTGCAACACGAAGTCCAAGCTCCTCCTCCTTCTATGGTCTGGCTCCTAATTTCTTTTCTAGCTCCATCTCTTTCTAAACTCTAAATTCTTGAAACCTAGAAGTGTTGGAAGTTTCCTGCAGGTATCAGGCCTTTGCTCATGTAGGGCCTTCTGCCACCCTCCACTTCAATTCTCAGCCTGGTTAAACCTGATTCACCCTTTAACACCCAAGTTAGGGGGCATAACTTTGTGGTCAATGGAATGCCAGTGGTTTTGAAATCTATTAGAGTAGTATTTGAATGTCCCTTTGCTACATACTGTGTGAATTTAGACAAATTATTAAACCTGCCTATGCCTCATTTTCCCCATCTGTAAAACAGGAACAATAATATGAATCATAGGGTTGTTTTGAGGATTAACTGAGGTAATATTTATAAAGTGCTCAGAAGAGTATGTGGCACATATTAAGTCCTTATAAGTGTGTATAAATAAACATTATTGTCACCTGCTATGTGAACACCTTTCTGATACCTCCACTCTTTGATGGTAGAAGGTGCCCTCACTCTGCTCTCCTATAATAACTTATCCATATTTATATCAAAGCAATTGCAACATTGTAATACAATTTTCTTTTATAGAATGACTTTCTTCCCTTGATGGTGAATCATTTCAGTAGCATAAACATATCTATTTCATTTTTGCACCCCCATGACTTACTACTGTGCTCTACTCCCTACTTAGAGGAATTTCTGAAAAATGTAAACATACACCATACATGCTATTCGGTGACTGTGAGGACTGTTTCTCTCATTTTACAAAAGGGTACCCTAAGGTATGTCGAATTCTTTCCTCAACTATTTTATTTCCTACTCTCTGACTTCAAAAACTCACCCAACACCACAATTTTTCTTACCTTTTTATATATGGTTTCCAAAACTCTAGCCTGAACTTTTTCCCAAGCTCCATTTATAACTACTCGTGAGATATTGAATATCTAAGTTCCACATTCCGGTAAACATCAATTACATTCTCCAGTCTACTAAAATCGGAAAATTTAGAGTTACCCTGGACTACTTCCTCTCTCTCTACTTCAAGTTAACCCTGTTAATTCTATCGCCAAAATACCTACCAATCACTCCTATCATCCCTATTCTCTGCCAGTGACTCATTCAGGCTCTTCCTGTGTCCCATCTCGATTATTAAAATCAGAGACTCTCCTCTCTCTTTCTATTTCTCTCTCATCCCTTTATTCACTTTACTCTTCAATCCTTTTACATACCATGGTCAGAGTAAGCTTCCTAAATCAAAAACCTGATGTGTTATTTCCTTGCTTACAATGGCACAGGATAATGGTGAAATACTAAGTAGCAAGATCCTATTCAAAGTCCTTCACAAACTTGGCTGAAATCGTTCTTTCCATATATAACTCCTGCCACTTTTCTCTTCCTTTCCCCACGCACTTTTGATTTTGTGTTACAAAATATTTATAAAGCCCTAACTTAAGTCCCAAATTTGAAAATATATGAAATTCTAAAAAAAATAAATCATAGAAGATTTAAAGAAACTAACAAAAAATGAATTCTAAGTTGTATTTTCCACTGTAGACACATGGTGGCACCATTTTATTTGCCTAACAGCAGTACTGGAGCTCCTTTGTCAATATCACATGGCTATGCTATAAACTTGTGCCTGTGCTTGTGATGACGATTGTGAGGTTTGTTAACGGTACGCTAGTGTTAAAAATGCTCCTAATATCAACAACTTTTAAATAAAATTTAGAGGTGATAAAGTTATTATTCATTTTTATTTATTATTGCCTTTGTTATGGGCTGAACTGTGTCCCCCTCTAAATTAATATTTTGAAGTCCTAACCCCCAATGCACCTCAGAATGTGACTGTATTGGAAGATAAGGTCTTTAAAGAGGTAATTAAGTCAGAATGAGGTCATTAGGGTGTGCCCAAATCCAATATGACTGGTGTCCTCATAAGAAGCGATCAGGACACAGGTACAAAGGGAGGACCATGTGAAGACACAGGGAGAAGATGGCCACCTACAAGCCAAGGAGTGAGGCCTCAGAAGATGCCAACCCTAACGACACCTTGATCTCAGACTTCTAGATTCCAGAACTGTGGGGAAAAAAGTTTGTTGTTTAAGCCACCCAGTCTGTAGTACTTTGTTATGGCAACCCTAGCAAACCAATAACCCTTTCAAATACATTTAAAAACATAAACACAACAGTTGTGGACTAATGTACTATGTAACAATGTAATCTCTCTATTATTATCATTTACTCCTAGGGGGAAATGATTCTGATCTATGTGAGTTTTTGTTTACGTGAGCTCTTCAGATATCCTTGCCTCAAGTAAAATGCCACTATCCCAAATGTTGGCCATTTTCTTCTACTGACCATTAACTCAATATGTCATATGTTTTTACTCATTTACCCTTGCTGAGTAGACTTTAATGGAATGGTTAAGGGTGCAGACTCTGGGGCCAGATGGCTTGGGCTCACAGTCCTCTTCCTCACTAACTGTGACTCTGGACAATTACTTAAAAAGCCTGGGCCACATTTTTCTCAGATATCTGTACCATAGAAACAACCACAAGGGCTGCGTTAGAGGGCTTTGTAAGGATTAAATGAGTTGATATGTACAAAGTGCGTAGAACAGTGCTGGGAACACAGTTAAGTGCAATTATGCTGTCGATGATCCCTCTGCTTGATTAGGCTCTGGTTATCTCCTAGAGAAAAACCTTTATCCTTCAAGGCCCAGAAGAAAGTATACCTCCACTTTGAAACCTTAGTGACTCAACCTCCCCTTTCTTCTCAGATTGAATACTAAATAAACTTGAGCTGTCAAAGATACTGTAGAGTGATGAGCTTGGTTTCTAACAATTCGGATTCAAATACAGATTTTTCCATTTACCTACTATGTGATTTCAGACAATTGGCTTAATTTCTCTGAGTTTCCACATCTAGCACATTACTTGACACACGGATGCTTACTGAGTATTCTTCTAATGAATACATATTTCATCTGTGGGTTTGGGAATATAATGTCAACCATACAAGATACTGCAGTATTCTCAAAGTGTGAGACTAATGGAGGTACCAAGTTGATTTTAGGTGAGAAATAGGCCGGTAAGGGCACTGAATCACACAGAGAAAATTCTCCTTTCAACTTTATTTCAGTACTGCTGATTAGGTCAAGGAGAAAAATCTCAGTTTGGTGCTGCTTTTAAATCCTTCTCTAATGCTTGCTAATCTCCTTTTTAATCAGAAGATTCAGAGCCTTTAGCAGGTAACAGCTAGAACTGAATCACATTTCTTATTCATTACACTTATTTTTACTGGTTCTTTATTTTTATGTCATAGTGCTTCTTCCATTTACCGGAATGATACCAATTTTTCTTTTAAAATAAATTCATTTAAGTATAAAAGGTACGTTGATTTAAAGAAAAATATTAAGTCTATAACAGCAGTATGAAGACACGGTGAAAATGAAAATAATACGCAAATTATTGCACTTTGGGCAACTGCGATGTATATACAATATTATGAATTATTGCGTTCATTGCATGTCAAGGTGGCTGTAAAGTTTATTCTTTAGCAACGGTGACAGTAGCAATTAGTGGTTTATCAAGTACTGTTTTAATGTATAGTAGTCCCAAGCACAAACTAGAAACAATACAGCAGTGAACTTAACACAGCTGCTATCACCTTCCTCTGCACCAAACCCTGGATATTCCAGACAAGCCCAAAGGAGACAGCGGGAGACAGACCAACGGATGTGGTCTCCTTCCATTATCCTTCACGTTACTCAGCCAGCGCTCTGCCCTCTGCAAGGCGAACATCTGTTGAAGTCGCAACTTGAAGATGATGGAGACATCAGGGCGTTCAGTGTGTCAATTTTTTCCACCTTCACTTCTGGGCAAAACTTTCCTCGGACACATTATTGCAATCAATTTTATCTTCCGTTTCCTTTCAGGTCCGCTGAAATATTAGCGATATCACCGACAACGTATGGAATATATTTCGACTTCCACATTTTAGAAGTTGCAATATTATTTCGCAATTTAGCAGCAGCCTAATACCCCGGACTAAGAGCACGACTTAAACTACGCGAGAGTTTCCCCTCACGTGACTTCCTTACGGCCGCGCGCGGAGGCACGCTGACGTCACGGCGCCGTGCGTCGTGCGGCCGAGGGGCGTGGCGCTGCGTCTCCAGGGTCCCGCCGGGGCCGCTAGGTGGGCGGTGCTGTGTGTGGTACGTTTTCTTCTCGGCTTCCGAAAGCCTGGTTGAGTCCTGTCCGCGGGCCCCTGGTGGGACGTCCTGGGGAAAGCCGAGCCGCCGGTGATGGCGCCGTCGCGTTTCGGGATCCTCTCGTGACGCCTCCGTCGCCCGGGAGGATGTGGACTCTTGCGGGCCGGGGCTGGTGGCGCGGACGCGCGCTCGCGGCGTCGGCCACAGGGGCCGCGCATCGGGGCCTCCCCGGACCTCACCTCATGCCGAGCGGTGGGTCCGCTGCCGAGTGCAGGGCCCCGGACAGGCTCTGCAGCTCTGCAGACCGCAAGGTGACCGCCGCTTAGTCTCTGATCAGACAGGTTTTAAAACTTGGGAGGCAGCTCCTTGCGAATTTGGAAATGTGAAGGGCTTCCCCGGCCTACCCGTGAACGCGGGTTGCGATTCTGTGGAGACAGATCTGAGAGCAGGCTTTGCTCGGGTATCTGAATCCTTCGCCGCTCACCAGTGTGACCTTGGGCAAGTCACTTCCTGAGTTTCCTAGTTTGTAACTAAGTCATTGATTGATTATGGGAGGCAGTGCCCTAAGCGCTTTGCATGTATTACGTTAATTCTCCTGCAAGCCTACCGAAGAAGCTGCCAGTACTCCATTTTCCTGCAACTTGTTAGTCTTGTGCCCTGGGAAGTTACTTGACCTTTCTGTGACTAGACTATTTCTTCTTTTGGTGAATGAGGTACTAATAAAACATCATATGTATGAGGATCGCACGATGTAAGGCATAGAACTTTTTAGTCCAATACCTAGAATATAAGAAGTGTTGGGTATGCTTTAGCTTCTGTTTGTTTTATTATTTCATTTTACCTCAGACAACGCGAACTTGTGTAATTCTGACTCTGTTCTTATGGTTGGAGAAGGGGGCTGCGGTTCAGCAACTCTAAAAACTACGCTGTCTGATAACTATGAAGAGAGGTAGTTTAGGCAGAAAAGTGAAGTAATTGAATGCAAGGTGGGAGTAACTGGAAAAAAAAATAAGACTGTATAATTAATCAATTTTGCCCTTTTCTAAAATGCCTTGTGGAATTTTAAATAGATTTATGTTGCAATTCAAAGTGCTTAAAAGTGGTGCGGTCCTGAATATCTTGTGAATTGAATGGCGGAAAAAAAATGTACAGGGCAAACAAATCAGGTTTAGTTTTTTTGCAGAATTTCTTACAAATACATTTGCACCCTTACTGTCTGTCTTGTATTGGAGCACTTATAAAAAGGAAACTTAAAGCTCATGAGGTTTTTATATTTTATTGTAATTTCATTTTTTTGCTATGAAATAGATTTGATTGGGAAAATAACATACAAAAAACTGACATAATTTACTTGAATACCAATTTTTAGCAGTTTGTAATGCCTCACAGTAAAACATTAAAGAAGATGTGTACGGTAAAAATCAGGAGTTTCGTTTTAAAATAATTTTGAGTTTTAAGTGATAATTAAGAGCCTTTTTTGGTGGTGTGATCTTTTTTCTCTTTCTCCAGAGAAATTGCCAAGTGACAAAATTGTATTTAGATTAAACTTTTGTAGACTCTAATAGAAGCACAGGTTTTTAAATAGATCTGACTCTGGTGATTAAATGTACGATGAGGGCCAAGAATTTCCTTTTGTTCTTTCAGCCTGAGGAGGTTTTATTAGACCATGCCCTCTAAGGCTGTTAAGAAGTTCTGGGTATCTTGTGTTCTCCATTCATGAAAATAAAGTCAGTTCCTCATTGGCCGTCTAAGTGGTGGGAATATTATAAGAGAATTCTACTTAGCTGTAGCGTCACCTTTGACAGTGAAACTGATGTATTTGGTGAGTCTTATTGTAATCCATTGCTTGTAATATGAGTTTAGCCATACATCTCTTTATTGTTAGAATAATGGAATAATATAAACAGTATAATTCTATAAATGAAATAGTCCAAAGAAGACGAAAAGAATGTTCTTACACTTAGTATACTTGTTTCATACTGTACAAAATTTATGCTCAAATGTAATATTTCTCTGCTCTTTCTAGGAAAAAATTGACATGTCTGGATTCCCTGTTGAAAATATTAGAAATTTCAGTATCATTGCACATGTGGATCATGGCAAAAGTACTTTAGCTGACAGGCTCCTGGAACTAACAGGTATTTTCATTTTATATTATATACTTAATTGATGTCAATGAGTAATTGGTAATTACTTTTACCATGCTTTTTAAAATTTGAGTTTTAATTTTATATGTAGTATTGTCTCTTTCTAAAAGCACATAGAAATATCAAGTGTTTCTGTTTATAGGGACAATTGATAAAACAAAGAATAATAGGCAAGTTCTTGATAAATTGCAAGTGGAACGAGAAAGAGGAATCACTGTTAAAGCACAGACAGCATCTCTCTTCTATAATTATGAAGGAAAGCAGTACCTTTTAAATCTCATTGATACACCAGTAAGTTTAATACTAATTTTGTCTTTCTTGTTAAAGTCAGCCTTGTACTAATAGTACAAATTCTTGTTTAGTTTTTCAACTAAACATTAAACGCTGAACTTTGCTTTTTATTTTCTCAGTTCCCTAATGTTCGTGTAAATTGTTTCACAAGTGCAGGCTAAAAAAAAAGAAACCCCCTGACTTTTTATCAGGTGGAGTCAGTAGATTTGCCATAATGCACCTCCCTAAAAAAATTATCACTAACATTTCGAGACATCAATGTTTTTTGTTTCTCAGGGCCATGTTGATTTCAGTTATGAAGTCTCCAGGTCACTCTCTGCTTGCCAGGGTGTTTTACTTGTGGTTGATGCAAATGAGGTAGGTACTTTTCATTTTATATGATGTGCTTCTTTGGTTATTTCAGGAGGTTTTCTTTAAAATGTGTTTTGGAAATAGAATTTTTGTGTTTGGAAAAAATAAGATTTATTGTAGTACTTAACCAAAATCATATGCTTTGGTCATGTTAGTTTGAAGTTTTATTGCACTAAAGCATTCTGTGAAATGGACTAGTTCATCCTTTAATATTTTTAAGCTGATTGGAGGACTTGTGTAAGAGATGGTTGCATTTTTTACTGAAGTGTAATGTCATATATGCATCCTACCAGAAAACTCAGTTTTTAGCAGTTCTTAATCAGTAGTTTCCATATCAGTTTTCAGCAGAACTTGAAAACAAATCTTTAGTTTTCGGGCCATTTGGGGTGATTTTAAGGTAATAATTTGGGAAGTGTTAGGTTTAAAGAAACGTAAATAATATTAACAGATCCTTTTATGGCATAAACATAGGAACATATTCAGCAGATGACCATATAAGAGCTATGATACACTATTTAAAGTAAGCTTTTGATTTATTTCAGTTTCTCACAAACTCTTCATTCAAAACCGAAAGATGCTTTTTTTATTGTGTTGCACCTTCCCTGATCCTGTCAGGGAAAGTCAATTTCTACCTTATATATATAATAGTGGGCTTTATAAACTGCATCACATGGCTGTGTCCTCTAGTTGGCTTTGATGATCGTAACGGTTCATGTTTCACGGTTGTGTCTCCAATGCCTAACATAGTGCCCTTCAGTTAATGATTCCGGAACTGAAAGCAATTTTCACAGGAAATGATCCAGATGCATGGAGTATAGATACCATAGTTTGCTTTATACCTCTGCTTTTGATGAAGATGTGTGGAATGGTTTTGAATTACAGTTGGCCCTCCGTATCTGTGGGTTCCACATCCAAGGATTCAACCAACGTCGGATTGAAAGGCCTACGATGGTTGTGTCTGTACTGAACATGTATAGACTTTATTTCTTGTCATTATTCTCTAAACGATACAGTATAACAAGTATTTCCATAGCATTTCCATTGTATTAGGTGTTATAAGTAATTTAGAGATGATTTAAAGTATATGGGAGGATATGCATAGGTTATATACAAATACTTTCGACAAAAGCCATTTTATGTAAAGGACTTGGGCATCCGTGGATTTTAGTATCCCTGGGGGAAGGAGGGTATGGTTCTGGAACCAATCAGCAGATACGGAGGGATGACTGTGCAAGTTTTGTGATAGATGATGGAATGATCATCTCAGTATCTTGTGTCTTGATATTTCCAGGGTATTCAAGCCCAAACTGTAGCAAACTTCTTTCTTGCCTTTGAAGCACAGCTATCAGTAATTCCAGTTATAAACAAGGTAATTACAATGAGAAAACAATGCTATTTATTATTTTATTTTCTAAAAGTCTATTTAGTGTTTGGATATCAAGTGTACTATTTTTTATATGAGGGATCTTCAACTATTTATTAAATATATTGGTGGAATTCATCTCTGAGTTGCGTGTGGTAGAATTGCAACGCAAACTCCTATAACCTTTCACGTAATTGAGAAGATAGTCTCCCTGAATTACAGAGAGTGATGGAGGGCTCTTTCCGTAGGAAAGGGATGCAGAGCTGCCCAAATAGGTCTGTTACACTAAACTATATATAGGAAAAGAAAAGGAGCATATGATCTAGGAGGAAGCAATAAAACATGACAGTTAAGTGCTAAACTGAGCCATGTTGATAAACTTTGCCTTGAATGTATTAAAATTAATAAATTAAGTCTGCGTTGTCTTCAATGATATTTTTTGTTACTGGAGTTTAAGTTTAAAAGAAGCAAGGTTGCCCTTAGGTAAGTCAGTTTGTTGTCATAAGTTATATCTAACTTAACGCAAAAATCAGGTTACGTGGTGTTAATTGATAAATTGTTATTGATCTCTTCTGCTGCCTTGCGTAGCTGTCTAAACTTTTTGCGTGCTCTGCTCTCTACCATGTATTTTTCAGTGGCCATGCTTGTTAAAATTGTATTGCCCATTAATACTTTGAAAAAAATCATAGAGGGGTCAGGTTAAAAGCAGGTATGAATAATGAATTTTTTTTTTAAGATAGATCTGAAGAATGCTGATCCTGAAAGGGTTGAAAAACAAATTGAAAAGGTGTTTGATATTCCAAGTGATGAATGTATTAAGGTAAATATCTTTCTTTTGAAGACTCAGTTATACTTTTAAAAATCTCAGGTAATTGGCCTAAGTGAAATTTCATACTATTTGATAGCTCATTATTATATAATGTTTTAATAGTTCTACAAAGTTATTTTTACTAATATTTCATTTGATCCTCACCAGAAATCCTTTTTACATAGTTAGGACACCACAGGAATTTTTCTTGTGACATGGTTTAAAGACTGAAGGCTCAAAACTTTTATTACTTTCTTAAGATTACAGATCTAGTTAGCTCTTGTGCCAGGACTAAAACATAGGCTTTCTGAAACTAATTGCAGTTTTATTTCTTGTATTCCATTTTGCCTCTATGGAAATATTCTCCTTGAAGAGTGGATTCAAACTAATTTCAAGGCATTTATATGTATCACTCTTGGAATTGACAAAGAGCTTTTTAATAAAAGAGCTAGCTGTAGTAATAATCTTAGGAAACAATAGATTTTTTTTAATATCAAAGTTGATTCTATTTTAAATTTGGGTTTTTTTATTTACTGTGTAAAGATGGTTTATGTGTTAAATAGCCACAGCCAAACTGTGCTGTGCTGGCATGCTTGTGTATTATGTCAGTGCAACAATATAATGTTTAGCTTCTACTTTCAGTCTCATTTGAAGTTTGAAAAAGCAAGTTTTAGGTGATGAACTGTTTTTTTGTTCGTTTTTTTAACCTTAACACCATGGATGATTACATACAATTTGGTAATAACTGAAAAAGCAATACTTTTCTTTCTTGGATATATATATATATAAAATTTAATGGTTATTATTATGAAAAGGGACTTCATTTTATAAAGCAATTCTGAAATTATGGTTTCATAACTTGGATTGTGTTATATTAAAGTATAGTGAACTATTCTTATTTTAATAAATCTTTACAAAATTTTTTCAGATACTTATTTGGTATGTGCCAGCTAGGGGCGCAGTAGTGAACAGGACAGGCAAGACCCTTGTCTTATTGTGTTTATATTCTACTTGGGGAGGCAGTCATTAAATAAGGAAACAAAGAAGTAAGCATAGTAATTATCGAATGAGACAGATATTGTCAAGGAAATTCATTCAACAAATTGTGTTGTTCCGGGTGCAGTGCCATACTTAGCAAAGGAAAAATCTTTTTTCTCATAGTGTGTGAAAATCTTTTTTCACACACTTTTTTCTCAAGTGTGTGAGTTTCTCACAGCACTCACAGAGATGCTGTGATACAGAGTAACTTAGGGAAGTCCTCTTTAATGAACTGAGACCTGAAGAAATGAAGAGTTGGGAGTTCTTTCCAGGAAGAGAGGCAAGAGCAAGTGTAAAGGCTTGGCATATTTGGCGTGTTCAAGGAACAGAGAGGCAAATTAGGCAAGACGGCTTTGCGGGGTAGGCAGAAATGAAGTCACACTTGGACTCTTGCTGTGTTAAAGAGTTTGAAAATTATTCTAAAATAATGAAAGATTTTTAAAGCAAGAGAGGAACATAAACTGATCATTCAGGTTGCCTTATAGAGAATGGAGTAGAAAAGGGTAAGAAGAGATACGGGAAAGCAGCTTGCAGTAATAGCCCAGGTGCAGAATGGTAGTGGCCAAGTATATCCTGGTGATGTTGGAGAAGGGACCTAGTTTGATGTATATTTTGTAGACACAATACATTTGCTGATGGGTTACATGTAAGGACATGAAATAAAGGGAAAAATCAGGGAAGCTCTGGGTTTGAGCAACTGGTTGAATACTTGTATTTATTAATATGGACGGGACTTGGGGAGGAACAGATATGGGAGGAAAATAGAAAGCTCCGTTTTGGACATAATGGATTTGCAATGTCTATTAGACATCCGAAGTAGAGATATTGAGTAAATCTACAATTCAGGCTGGAGAGGGCTGGGTCAGAGATAAATATTTAGGAGTCATTAGCATGTATGTGGTATTGAGGCCATGGCAGTGGAAGGGGTTTCCTAGGGAGAAAGTGTAGGTAAAGAAGAGGTCCTAGAAATCAGACTACAGTATTGTCAACTTTTGGGGTGTTACAAGTAAGAACTTGGGAAGGATTAGAGGGAGTATGATTCAGAATAGAAACATGGAAGGATTGAATTTTCAAAGTGGGAATAATTCTCAGATTATAATGAGAGAAGGCAAAGAGGTTGTGGGTGTTAAGTGCAGATGGATCTGTATATTTGGATAAGGCAGTGTTTTATGTTTTCTGTTTCCTTAAATAAGAGGCAAAGTCATCATCTGAGAGTGAATTGGCTGGAGGGGAAAATGTGGGGATTGAAAAAAACGATGGTGTGAAATATCTTACTGAGCGATGTGTGAAATATCTTACTGAGCGATAGTGTGAACTTACTAGGGGACGTTTTCTGGGACTGCCAGGAAATGTTAACTGCACATTGCGATCTGTGGTCTTGAATTCACAAGAAGCCAGCCAGACCAGTTACTTGACTTTTCTCCAGTAATGTTAAGCTACTCTGATTATAGGCATAGAAAAAGCACATAGTTGGATGCAGTCACACTTGAAGCTTTACCAGCTGCTTATGACGGAGAACAGAAAGTTGTTGAACAGAGTGATAGTAAATAGTGGACCTTGGAGTCTCATCTATGAGAGGATGAAAAGGAGGAGGTAGGGGTCTAACGGATAATGAAAAAAAGTAGTGCATTCAGTGGCTTAGAGGTAGTCACCTGAGAGGATTGTTGCAAAGAAGGTACTAGAGTTCAGAGCACTGGCTCTTGTTAGGGGATAGTTTTGCCTCACAGGAAACATTTGGCAATGCCTGGAGACATTTTTTGTTGTCACAAATTGGGGGTGGGTGCTACTGGCATCTTAGGAGTAGATGAGATTCCGTGGATGGTGTCAAACATCCTACAATGCACACAGTAGCCCCCAAAACAAAGAATTATCCTGCCCAAAATGTCATTATTGCTGAGTTGAGAAACTGACCCAGAGGGAGTATGGAGGCTAAGAGCTGGTATTCAGGGAAGGGTTTTGAAATCAAGATTTCAGAGACAGTCTGATTATTGGTGATGACAAAGGTCAGTCATGCACATGTGCTTTCAATCTTTTGGTTTGCTTTGTCACTGAGAACAATAGTAATAATATGCCGTATGATTACCTGTATGTCGTCCACATATATTGTTTATTTTCTCCACACAACACCTTAAGATTTAGGCAGGATATGAATAATCACTTCACTTATAAGATGAGGAACTTGAAGCTCAAATAAATATATTTTGGTCAAAGTCATACATTCCATGCATAGTCCCGATTGTTACCCAGATATTTAGAACTCTTATCGACTGCACTTTTCAGTACCATAATTAGAATGCTGTTGTAATTTAATCCAGGAACCACAGGCTCACCTAACTGGACATGGATCAATATGCTGTATGTTTTGTGCTTCCTTTTACTATGTTTGTCAAACAAATTGGTAACTGTTAGAATTCTTCCTTTTTTCTGATCATAAAGCTCAGTCACCAGGACAGAAAAGTAGAGTCTTAACTTGAAATGTTTATTTTTTCACATACATATTTTTAGATTTCTGCAAAACTTGGAATAAATGTTGAAAGTGTTCTTCAGGCAGTCATCGAAAGAATACCCCCGTAAGTATTTTGGTATTTTTATACTATTTGTTTATCTTTTAATAGTACGAAGACCATCAGTTTGATCTGTTATTTTCGCTTAGTAGCTATGGCAAATACACTTTTGTGGTCAGTGAGAATAAATTTTTATTTATTTTTAGTAATATATGGAAGGCAAAGTACAGAAAAATAAAGACAACAATGATAGGGATCTCTTAAAAATCATTGTAATAAAGAGTCTTGAATACATTGGCAATTATTGTTCTTTGCTTTAGTACTGAACAAACATATTTCATGTTTCATAAGTAATTTTATAGCAGTCATTTATTTAAAACCCAAGGTTGAATTTGAACTAATATAAAAATAGGCATTATACCTTATTTTATAGAAAGCTCCTTTTATTTTGGCTATCAGTTCTCAATCTTTCTCAGGTATTAGAATAAGTTAAGCATAATATTTGAGTTTAAAAATAGGCATTTTGTTAAGATTTTAATTTATTATGTGTGTATTTATTTTTTACTTATTTTTGATAGTCCTAAAGTGCATCGAAAAAATCCCTTGAGAGCTTTGGTATTTGACTCCACCTTTGACCAGTATAGGGGTGTGATAGCCAATGTAGCACTGTTTGATGGAGTGGTTTCCCAAGGAGATAAAATTGCATCTGCACATACTCACAAAACATATGAAGTTAATGAAATAGGAATTCTGAATCCTAATGAGCAGCAAACTCATAAACTGTAAGTAACCTGCATTAGTAATTAAAATAATATTTGTATGTGTTTCTCTCTCTGCCTTTCTCAACTCGGTATGCTTAGAATGATTCCAATTTGGGAACTTAGAAAAAACCAAAACCTGATTATTTAATGCTTCTATATAGTGAATGGTCTTTCAAAGGGAATCTCATGGGGGCCGGCCCCGTGGCTTAGCGGTTAAGTGCTCGCGCACTGCTGCTGGTGGCCCAGGTTCGGATGCCGGGCACGCACCAACGCACCGCTTGTCCGGCCATGCTGAGGCCACGTCCCACATACAGCAACTAGAAGGATGTGCATCTATGGCATACAACTATCTACTGGGACTTTGGGGGGAGAAAATAAATAAATAAAATTTAAAAAAAAAAGGAATCTCATGTATGAAAGACAGTAGAAATTTGATATGTTTTTATTCCTTTTGACTACTCATAGGTATTATTATGGTCTGGTGCAGGTTGGGTACTATATTGATGTATTTGATGAGACAGTAAAAGAGAGAGTTCCCTCACTGGTACCCATATCTACACTGGGTATCAATTTTGACATTAAATTTTTTTATAATCAGATTTTTCAACACAAAAGTAGTGAAGAAAATTTGATATTATTTTCTTTAGTGTGGAATTCATGATAAAACTTTGATTAACTAGAATCATGGCATGTGGGGTTAGCATGGTAGTATGCATTAGAAAAACTGAGTTCCAGCCTAGAACTCGACTCAGTTATCTGTTGAGTGCCTACCCCATCAATACTCCAGGTACTGATGAGATAAATCACCGGTGGGCACATAGCTGAAACTTTGTACGGTTTTTTGTTTTCTTATCTTTAAAAATTGAGATATTGAACTAGGTGACTATATAGGTCACCCTTGATAGTTTAATGTTGTATGTCTAAAATTAGCACTATTGTGCACATTACATTTTTTATTTGAGTCATAAAGTCTATTTTAATTTTACTCAAATATTTCTAAAGTCTGTCCTGCCCACATATATCATATATTGACCATTACTGCATCTTCAGTTAAGATTCTTGTACCTCATCCTAAATGTAAATTACTTTGTTATCATGTAGGAAATTTGCTTTAAAAAAAAATTTAAACCAAAACTCTGAAATCTTGGGATTTGCTCTTTTCCTACAAGAAGAACATCAAATAGATGTCAGATTTGTTGAGAGTTCGTTTTTCTGCTTGGTTAAAAATTTATCTTTTTTTCTTTTTTAAAGCACATTTGTTAACAATTTGCTAGTAAAATAGACATTACAAGAAGTGTTTTGTATTTCTGCACTTATCAGTTTCACTATATTTACATTATATTTTAGAAGCTGTTTAAAATGCAAAGGTGGGCAGAGTCATGAAGAAGCCCTTAGGCTTGTGTTGCAGAGGTCCTTGGTAATGGATTGTAAAGCATGGTATGTTCTTTTGCTGACAATCCTTAGAGTTGAGCATTGATACATAGCACTTAACTTTCAGTTTGTTGAGGTTTTGTTTGGAAAGTGTGATCATTTTCTGGAAAAAGAGAACTAATTCTGAGTATGTACTTGAAACATGTAGCAGTAAATATTTCCATATAATGATTTTATTTAGATATGCAGGACAGGTGGGCTATCTGATTGCTGGGATGAAAGATGTCACTGAAGCACAAATAGGAGATACATTATATTTACATAAACAACCAGTGGAGCCCTTGCCTGGGTTTAAATCAGCGAAACCAATGGTATTTGCAGGTGAGGAGCTCACGAATTCAAAGGATGAGGGCCAGTTTATTCTGTAAATTGAAATAAAAATTACTAGAAATACTCATCTTAAATAACAGCTAATTCCAGGTTACTGTTTAATTTTTTTGTGTGTGTGCTATTTAATATCAGTTAATTTCATATGTTTGCTGAAACTTTATTTGGGAGATCATTTCCTAAATGTTTTTAGGACTTCTTAAGAAACAACCTCTTAAGAAACAAGCGGTCTGATATATAGAAGAGCATAGTAATAATATGAACTTCTTTCTTGTTTCCCTAGAGAGTAGGTCATTGTATTTGAAATAGTTTTCTAATTGGGATGTTTTTATTACCACTTATCAGTGGACGTTTACTGAGTGCCTTCCTCTTTGCTGGTCTTTCTTTAATATTGTATTGTACTAGTGTAGACATGGCAAGGAATAGTGTCACCTCACGTATGTGTAACTTCACAACCTTTTACTTCTGTGTGCTATTACAGACATTTGAAAGAGGAAGACCTAATTGAAGGTCATCAAGTTACCCTGTGCTGGGTATCCATCCAGTCCTCATTTTTCTCCCTTCAGTATCTCTCTCATTGGGAATTATGAACTTTGTTTACCCCGAAGTTTAGGCAGTGTCAGTCATTTGGATTTTGGAGGACTTGAGAGGAAAGAGAATCTGATGAGTCAGTAGCTTCATAGTTTTTGTCAGTGAATTGAAAAAAGCAAAATTTATCTTTGATTTTAATGGGTAATCTGCCCTAGAGGATTAAGAGTTCAGTGTAGTTTTCATTTCTACCCTTGTTTTTTATCTACTGATAGAGTTTCATTTGTGGATGTAGAATGTCTTGCACTTTTGTTTCTTGAACTGAACACAGTATATTTTCTTAATAGTCCTAATTCCCATGGTTCTTTTGTTTTCTCTATATTTTTGCAAAAGCATAAAAGTGTGGCTTGGAGTGTGAATCTAGATTCACACTTAAATTCATTAAGGCTATGAAACTTGCAAGATACTTTGAAGCCAATGTAACTTAATATTCACAGTCTTTTAAGCAAACCAGTATTTTGGTCAGTGAAATCTAGGAAAGTAATTTAAAAGCTAAATGATTAATTTGGAACTTGGCTGCATTGTATATTAACTTAGTTCTGTAGGCAGCTTTTCACATGTGATAATTAGAAATCATTGTGTCTCCAGGAATGTACCCTGTAGACCAATCTGAATATAATAACCTGAAGAGTGCTCTAGAAAAACTGACTTTAAATGATTCCAGTGTGACGGTTCATCGGGATAGTAGCCTTGCCCTGGGTGCTGGCTGGAGGTAAGATTCAGTTACATTGTAGGGTCCCATTTTCATTGAAAAATAAAGTTGAAATGGTTTGTTGCTCGTGAACATTCTGAAGATAAGATCCCATTAGTGTAAAGTGAACTAAAACAATATCTGCCTTTTTCACACTGTGGATTCATATTCTATGGATAATTTTTATAGCAATTTTAAATAGAATCCCAATGGAAAATTTGAATCTTAATGAAATTATGCTAGCATTTAATTTTGATGTGAATTGCTCAAGTGACTCTTTGATTCCACCCCTCCTCTACAAAGTAACAATATAGTCATCAAAGAAAATAGAGCCCCCGGGACATAAACATTTTGGAGTTTGGCTTTTTCTCCCCTAGGTTGGGATTTCTTGGACTTCTGCATATGGACGTTTTCAACCAGCGACTAGAGCAGGAATATAATGCTTCTGTTATTTTGACAACCCCTACTGTTCCGTATAAAGCTGTTCTTTCATCAGCAAAATTGATAAAGGTACTATTGTGAACCAGCATACAAGGGAAAAATAAATAAGTGTGTGTGTGTATGCAGAATGCAAGAGAAACTTTTTAGTATACCAGTAGCTGACTAGCTATTAAAACTAAATATGTCTTGATTAGTAATAGTAAAAATTGAATTACCTTACGACTAATGATGGAGAAGCTACTTGAGAACTAATTTATGCAATATTTTTCTTAACCAGATAAAATCTCCACATTATCAATACTTGTCTGTTACCGAGGGTAAAAAGTAGACTTAGTACTGAAAATACTATTCTAAATCCAGCACAAAAATTAAGAATGTAATTTTGGTTATAAATAATTTATCTTATGAAAAGTAAAGCTTTCATTCCTACATGGCTGTAGGAAATTTTAGATTTCAGATTAATGATAGAGACCATATTGTAGTCCCTCTAAGTAGCAATCTGTTCATTTTAAACAAATATTAATTTTGGGATCTGTAAATATTTTCCAACAAAATTAACCTAGGAAGCTAATTATAATCCCTTATAAGGGGCAGATTAAAATGTATTCTTAGGTCATACTTGTTTTTAAATGATACATGAAGTGTGTTTAGTAAATGTCAATAACCAGAATATATTACTTATTGATCATTGTTATTAAATGATTACAATTGGCAGGTTTTCTTAATCTAAAGCATGTTAAGATAATATTCTAACTTTTAGGAATGCTTTTGTTTTTATTCCAACAAATTTAATAACAATAAATTCTAGCATGTACTATAAATTAAAGGAAATTTAAAAACATAGTAATTATATTAAGATTTCTTTCTAACTATTGGTGACTTTTCTTATTTTTAGGAATACAGAGAAAAGGAAATTACAATCATCAATCCTGCACAATTCCCTGATAAATCAAAAGTAAAAGAATATTTGGAGCCAGTTGTTTTGGGCACCATTATCACACCAGATGAATATACTGGAAAAATAATGATGCTTTGCCAGGTATAAATGTAATACAATCTAATACAAAAGTAAGTTTTAGTCCTCTCAAACAGTAGTTCCCAGCTCAGGTTTTGAAAGATTTCTCTCTTCAGAGCACATTGAATTTAATAAGAAATTTTTATAAAGATCTATATGTATGTATATAGAGAGAAAGAGATCTATATCTATACATGTAGATATAGATACATATACTCTTTAAATTATTTTGATTTTATATAAAAAAAATAGCCAGAATTTTTGATCATCTGTGTTAGTTTACTGAATTGATACTTTAGCCCAAAGAAAGGAAATTGGATGCTTATTTGTTCTGAGTAGCTAAAGTGTAATTTCTTTTAGCCTTTCTGAGTAGTTGAAATTAAATATAGTTTGAAAGATAATTATAATACTTCAGAGACCTTTGATTGAAAGGTATTCCCTGTTTTGCTTTAGTTTTTGCAATATTGTAATAATGATTTAATCCACAAAAAGGATATAATCACATTCCTCAAAAAATACCTATTTGAAATACTCTGACATATTTTGGAAAGAACCCTCAAATGATGATTAGTAGACTTGAATTTTAATTCTGTTACCACAAACTAGATTATTACTTTGTTCAATCATTTAATTTCTCTGGACCTAAGTTTCTTTATTTGTACAACAAGAAATTAGAACTTTGACTTTATCTGTAGTTACATTTGATATATCGTTAAATGAAATACTGTATAATTAAAAAATATAAAAAAAAATTATTAGATAAAGACAAAGGATTAAAAGGTTTGTTAGCAAGTACACTGTAATTGAAATACAAAATGGTTCTCTCTGTATTATAAATTGCTCACAAATTTTTACTAGACCGTTAAATATTCCTTCATTTTGCCCAGTCTTTATTAGAATTTGTAAGGAATTTTAAAGTTGGTAATTGACATGTGTCTGTCTTCGTTTTAAACCATTATTTGAATAGACTATCATTAAACACATTTTTTTATTCAATTTTTAGGCTCGAAGAGCAGTTGAGACGGATATGATGTTTATTGATCAAAATAGAGTTATGCTTAAATATCTCTTCCCTTTGAATGAAATTGTGGTGGATTTTTATGATTCTTTGAAATCCTTGTCTTCTGGATATGCTAGGTAAAAATTTAATGGGAAACTCAGATACCTGGACCTTTTTTTTTTTTTTTTTTTTTTGGTGAGGAAGATTGGCCCTGAGCTAACATCTGTGCCAATCTTCCTCTACTTTGTATATGGGAAGCTGCCACAGCATGGCTGGATGAGCAGTGCGTGGGTCTGCACCTGTGTTCTGAACTCACGAACCCCTGGCTGCCAAAGTGGAGTGTGCGAACTTAACCAGTATGCCACTGGGCCGGCCCCATGGACAATATTTTTGAAACATTGACCAACAAGAGTATACTAGTAACTTCACTTATTTAACAATCTCAACTCTCTTGAAGATAGTTGAGAATCACACTCTAAGTTTAGGCTTGGAGCAACCTTACAAGTGTCACAGAGTACTTGGAATTTGCTCATGGAGAATGAGTTCCTTTGATTCATCAAACCATTACCCCTTGTTTAATGAAAAAATTTTAGTGCCCTCTTTACGAAAAGAGTTGTATTCCTCCTGTCTGTTTTTGAGAATTATCCATAATTTCAAAAAGCTGTTGTCATCTCAGTGGTCCTTTTAAAATGTATTTGTATGTTATGTAATCCTAGGAGCATCTGTATACATTTGAAAAATAGAAGTACATATTTAGTCTGTAAAAAATGCTTGGTTTTGCCCCCATATGTACGAACACTTTAATAACTTGGTCTTGCCAGGAATAAATGGTCTACATCATGAAAACCACTGTCTTATCCCCTAGAAGTACATGGAGGAACAGCCTGATAAAAGTGAAGGAAAAGTTAATATTAAATAACAAGGAACTTGGTGCATAGTATTTGGGGATTATTTTTCGTTGGTGTAAATGACTCTAGATGCCCTTAGTATCCTAAAATCTATTACTGTATAGCATATAATAGAGTATAAAGGAAATATAAAACATACTGAGGAAGTAAAGGGAAAAATGAACATTTGTATCTGTAAAACATGCACATGCACGCATGTATGCGCACGGGTGTTTAAAATGAACAGTCAAAGAAAAATTGCTGTGTTTAAGAACATGTTACAGTGACCGGAAGTTTAGCTTTATAAAATGAGCTTTTTAGTAAAGAGAGCATAACTCTTGATACCAAGGAATCCTCTGTTTCTATGAGAATTTATTTTTTATACTTTGTCACTCAGTGTTTTTCTTCCATGTCGTCTTTGAGAACAAGTGGCAATGGAATTTAAAGTAAAATGAATTGAGGCAGCATGTTGTTAAACAATTAATATAAACAAAAGAATGATTGCTAAGTCTTTATAAACATTTTTAACAAAAGTCTGTTGATTGTAGTTTGCTTTTGGGGATCACTTTCTCAGTTAAGTGGTCTTGAAATCTTTGAGCTTGGAAACTTGGATATATTTCAGATTAAATGAGAGAACACGGTTTATTTTGAACTTCGTAAAAATAAAATAATTCCAGCTTCCAAAATTAAGGTAATTCTTATGTTCAAGATGGATGTTTGTCATATGCAGTCAGTTCCTAACAAAACTTCATCCCAGTCCATGGCCTTGTAGCCTAGGCTGTAGATCTCTCCTGGATTGAGATCAGGAACAATTTCTCTGATACCAAATGGCAGGAGTCTACTGCAGCTGAGTCAGAAGAAGGATTCTTTTGCTATAGAAAGACTGTAGTGAGGCTGCTTCTGATACTTAACCTGACAGAGCTGTTTGCCCTCACCCCGTGAGTAGCCTTTTGGAGTTCTGTTTCCTGCATTCCAAGTGCACTGGAATTCTCGTGTTTTGAGTAGAGGTTAGGTTTCCATTGGGCTGGCTTGGAAACACAGACATTTGTATAATGGTTTCTTTTCAAAAAATGAATTAAATTCTAAAATTTTGGAGACCAGAACATGATAAAGCTGTAAACAAGGTGAAAGTCTAGGGACTATGTCTGTTTTCTCTCTTTGTATCCTGTATAGTACTTAATATGATGATGTCTTTCATCTAGTAAATGCTTAATGATGTTGAAGAAAGGAAGGATTTTAGCAACACTTTAGGCAGTAATCTGGTTTTAGAGAGCATTAGTATCACTTTGTGACCTTCCTGTTGAAAACATTTAGAAACCAAATATATTTGCAACCCTGGGCACCAGTTTGTTTTAAAATTAAGACAATAGGAATATACATGTTCTTGTCCATAATTGGGAAGACATGGAAGCATAATTGAAATTTTCTTTCTCATTAGACTTTAAGTTTGTAAGTTAAACTCTTGTTTAATGTTTGTTTTGACTAGCGTTGTAAGCTTTGACCATATTGTTACTAGTAATAGCTGACACTAAGTGCTTATATGCGCTAGGCTAGGCTCTGTATTTACTAGGCACTGTTCAAGCGCCCTATGTGTATGAACTCATTTTAGCCTCAAAAAAGGCCTGTGAAGGTTCAAATTGAAGAGCTATATATGAAATCCAAAAATCTCATTTATTATTGGATGTTTATCGTTTCCACAGCATTTGTTTAACTGGTAATAGAAAACTAAATAGAAACCCAACTCATGAATCTGAGAATGACCTATTAGTATAACTATTGTCTACAGTCAGCCAGTTGCTGGGACGGAACATTGGGAAGAAGGTGACATTTGCTTTCAGTCATCCATTTTCCTAGACTGGCTTACTAGTTTCTTTTCCTTCCTTTTGTAGAGCATGTTGCCCTGGCTTTCGCCTCTCATCTCATAAATGTAAAAAGATGAGGAAGTTGCTTTCTTACTGTGGTCACTTAGATCCATTCATCTAAAAAGTATATGTACTATTTTGATGGAAAGTAAGATCTTTTGGTGGGAGTAGAGAAGGGGGTAGAAAAAAGATATTTTGGAAAGAAAGAAAAATGTAATCTCTTGGGAAATATAATGTTTATCACTTGGACATTTTTCCTTGTTAGTTTTGATTATGAAGATGCAGGCTACCAGACTGCAGAACTTGTAAAAATGGATATTCTACTGAATGGAAATATTGTAGAAGAGCTAGTAACTGTTGTACACAAGTAAGTTGAACAGAAACTAATCATGGAATACGAAAGGAACGACTTTTGACGTGTTTTTATTTAACAGTTGGTTGCTCATTTTTATTTGACAGCTATATTTTGAAAACTTTTAAAGGTAATTAATTAAATTTCCCTTTACTAGTTTTTCCTTCCATTATTCTTCCATGCTTTTCTTTCCAAACTTTAAAAATATAAAAGGAGAATAGAATTATGATAGCCAAAAAGAATAATGTCATAGAAAGAAATGTTGCCCTTAAAATGGTGCCCTTCCCCATACAGGTAAGACAAAGTAAAAGAAAATGGTTTTTAAACTTTATGAGAGATTTTGAATTGAGAACAAAATGTTTTTTTTGAGAACAAAATGTTTTTTATCTTCATAAAAAATTTATAATAATGAAAAAAGAAATACCCTACATGTTCAAGAAATAGCAGATTGGTTAAAATAAATTATGGAGCACCTATGTAATAATCTATTATTTTAAGCCATTAAAACTGTATTGTGGAATATATAGTGACTTAAAAAATATATATTAAATAAAAAGGTAGAATATATCATATATACTCTGATCCAAACTGTAAAAAATGAATACAAGTATGGATGCAGAAAAATAACTAGAAGGATATATGTTTAAAATAAACATTCTAAAATGTTTAACAGTAGTTTTCTATGGGTGAGGGGAGGGGCATCAAGAATGGTTTTTATTCTCTAATGTATGTTTTTCTAGATTTTCTGTAATAGATCATGTTATTTTGCAATCAGAAAAGTCATTATGATTCAGAGAGTAAGCGATGTTGATGCTAAACGAGTTCCATTTGAACCTCCTTAAGAAATCACCTTTATGTTGATTATGCATATGGACTAGAAAGCTACTTTAAACATTCTTATTTATGATATGTAAATAGTTGCATTTTCTGTCTCAGAGACAAAGCACACTCTGTTGGCAAAGCCATATGTGAACGTCTGAAGGATTCTCTTCCTAGGCAGCTGTTTGAAATAGCAATTCAAGCTGCTATTGGAAGTAAAATCATTGCAAGAGAAACGTAAGTTGAAATTGGTTTTTGTTCCTGGGTTGGTTTTAGAAATGATATACCTAGAAAATGAAAGAATATTGAAAAATATGACTTAACATTGGCCTAAGCTTTATTCCTACTTGTAGAAACACTAATGTGACTCTTAATTCCATTAATTTAAGTGATGATTGTTACTTTGAATTACTTATATAACACTTTTGGGTGATATTATTTACAATTATTAATATAATGTAGATGGGTTTGAGAAATTGCTTTATTTCCACTCAGTTTACTGAATGACTGTACTGAATTTCCTGGGTAAAGAATTTCTGTAAAGTTTTTATGGTTTTATACCTTTAAGTAGATTGTAAGCTAATAGGAACTGAAACTGAAAAGGTTTTGGAGATATTCTTCAAAAAGACAAAACTAAATTGATTTTTCCTTAAAGCATTTAATATCACTTCCTCAGAGCTAGTGAGGTTGTAAATCAGAAAGGTGAGAGAGGAATGAATGCTAATATCATGTTAGGCTTTGCATTCTAGTTTAAGGACCTCAGATGTGATACAGTAGACACAGAAGATAGGCTAATTTGTGTAGAAAACGGGTCTTTTTCATGAAATGTGATGTATAAATCAGGACATTGAATAAGCTGCTCTAACAGTAAGTGTAGGAAGTATCTTGCAGCATTTCCCATTTCCTTTCCTTGATCATAAAACTTCTGGGAAATCAGAAGTATCTCCTCAGTTGGGAATTGCTGTTCAATTCTAGCTTAACCCAAAGCTAATGTATCAGTAGTGGTGAAATACAACCATCATTTTTAAAGTCTTGGGATAAATTTTATGCCTATATTTGCAGTGAATTTCATTTCTTAACACTATTTTGCTTTAGCTAGAAATTTTGTGTTGCATGAATACATCTTATGGAATACATACTAATGGAGCTATTTTCAAAATTCTGATCCTTCCAAATTTCTCAGAAACATTGTAGAAATAGGTTAGTTTATACCTATTTGGATGGCCCTGAAGATTCAGTTTACCCTGGATTGTTAAAATTCAGTTTACCATGAAATGGGTTTTATAAAAGTAATACATTATTCTTTATATTCCTAGTCGCTCTTGACCCCCATTCGGAGGAGTAATAAGATAACCATTTTTAGTTAATTTTTTTGGAAGTAGCAGTGGTAGTATTTTTAGGTTGAGCCAGAAATGACCTTATATAATTCTTGTAATCAAGGTCACACCATACTTGAATTTGGCCTAATCAAGACTACCCACAAGCCTTGACCTTTTTTTATTCTTAATAAAATTTATTGATATTCATGTTGAATTCATTTTGTTTCATCCCAAATACTTTCAAATACAAGAGCATTTGAGCTACAATTATTTGCGTACAGCAGTTTTACACAGGTATGACACAGTCATTTAAATCCTTAGTAAAGGGGAGATTGTTTTTAAAAATAAAGTACCTTTAAATAGTATGATGAAGTTATGTACTTATACAAAATTTCCTCTTTTGCAGTGTGAAAGCTTATAGGAAAAATGTTTTGGCAAAATGTGTACGTATCTACCTATATTCTACTTTTTAATATATCTGTTTTATGAGTTTAAAATCAAAGGGGGTAAAAATACATTGGTTTCCATTGTTGGTTTTTATAATACCCTTTCATATCCAAGTTTTCTTTTTAAACAGGTAAATTTGAGCTTGACTATGATAGCATATTCACTTTGATCACATTCTTATTTTTCCATGTTATAAAAATTCCTTTATATGTAATACCTAAGAAAATGTTTTATATAACAGTTATGATCAGGGTAACATGTTTTGTTGGTCTAATTTATAAGGAAAGATTTTGAAGACCATGGCTATGTCTTACAGTGGGAAGAGTGTGGAAACTGAAATCTACCTCTCCTCTGTTGCTTTGCCAAGTTTGCTGGTCTCAGCTATTAAAAAAGAATTATTCTAACTCAAGTTATTATAGTAATTAAGTGATAAATGCTCTTTCTCAATCCTTAGCATGGGGACTGGAACATTTATGCCTGTGTGAGTTTCAATATAGACTACAGCTATATAATCCAAAATTTTAAGAATCAGTAAGGAGTCTGATAATTCTTCCTTGACATGCACAATGTAGTACTGGGTTTCCTTGGGGATCATCTCCATACCAAAAAAATAAGTAAAGCCTTTGTCATTCTTTGAGAAGTTAGTAAAATTAGGATCTGCTAGAAAGGGGGTTAGAGAGGTAGCTTTGCAGATGTCTGCCTCGTGGATAATTGTCAAGTTGTTGTATTGATGTCTCTATGTAATTGTATCATTGTTTCTGTGGAGTGATTTGGTCTTCCAATTTTTAAAAATATGTTTCAGTATGGTGGTGATATTACCCGAAAAATGAAACTTTTGAAGAGACAAGCAGAAGGAAAGAAAAAACTCAGGAAAGTTGGCAACGTTGAAGTTCCAAAAGATGCTTTTATAAAAGTTCTGAAAACACAATCTAATAAATAATTGGTGGGCAAATATAAGGAATTTTCATAAATTAAAAATTGTATATCCTTTAATTCTTCTTAGTAGTTTATTTTAGTATATGTAATTTATAATATAAATATAATTTATAATATGAATGAAAATTACAAAATTTGCTTGTTACTTTCAGAGTTTTCAGGTTTACATAACCCATTGGCTTTTCTTTGCAAGGAAGTAGTGGCTGAATGAGAGCTTGGATTTTGAAGCTGTATTTCCTATTTCAAATTTCTGTTTCACTACTTACTAGCAAGGTGACCTTGGCCAGATTACTTCTCTCTTTGTCTATTTACTCTTTAGTAAAATCAGGATTATACTATTACTTACCTCCCTAGGTTGTTGTGAAAATTAAACGAGATATTTAAAATATTCGGAAGCGTGCATGACACACAGTAAGTGCTCAGTGAATCTTAACTATTTTGTTTTCGTGCATATTTTTCTTACTGACACTAAAAGGCCCCATACTTAAGATTCTATCTAGTTCAAGCCCAAAATAAAGTATTTTCAAGATCAAGTATCAGTTTGTTAGCCTAATAAATCAGTTATTTAATAAAGTCAAATAACATACTCTTCAGACATGTGCTCTAGTTTTTGATAAAATTTTTACAAATTTTATCAAATGTTAGTTTGAAACTAGACAGTTTACATATACATCTAAGTTAAGAGTAGGGGCTGTCTTTTTTCTGCTGATTGCCTTTGTGCCAAGTGATAGGTGTTTGGTATTAGCAGAAGCTGTTATTGATAAGTCAATAATAATTGTCTGGATTTCATAATTGAGGAGACTGCGCTTTAGAGTAGTTAAGTAACTTACTTGAGGTCACAAAGCCAGTAAACGGCTGTCTTACTTCCAACACATGTGCTCCTATCTCGCCTGGTGACTCAGTGAGCAAACCAGAGGGCGGACTGTATTACAGTAAGATAAAATAGCCATTGATTTTTGTCCTCCACCTTGAATGAAATGAATGAAGTAAATACCTTTTCGGGATAAGACTGTCAATGATGAATTTAATACTAAGGTTATTACATTATGAGATGATTTTAATTATAAATTAAGATAGTGGGGACTTACTTAAAATTGTGTATAGAGGTTAAATAACCTGCTAGTCTTAGTTAGTTATATAAATTAATCAGCTCAGGTATCTTCCCTATCTCTTCTAGCTGTAATAGAACAGATGAAATATGAGACTCCATGGCAATAGTATTTTGGAAAATAGCAGTTTATTTGAAACTAGAAAAACATTTTTATATAATTTGTAAAACAAAATATTCTGTTCTACCATTATTGCCAGGGGAAAGTTACAAGTTGGTACCTGGCACAGAGTATGCACTACATGTCTACTGTTTAATATTTATGCTTAATTAGTATGCTTGCAATTTGGACACATTTAATTTTCTTCCTTTAACCTCAGACTTTTTAGGAAACAGTTGTGGTAATAACAGTACAAAAAAGTATTTTTCAAATATTTAAGCATAAGCTTAAGTTCTCTCCCTGGCCACTCTCCCAAACAGGTGATTTTCATGATGTGAGAGTTGTCTGTCTTCTAAATATATCCCCCAGAGGACCTTATATTACTAAGATTTTTGCAAACACTAAAATAATGTCAACTATGATACAAGTATTAGAAGAGTCACCATTTATTGAGTTGAATGTGTGACAGCCACTGTGCTGAGCGCTATAGTCATTCCCTCATTCATTCTTAACAACAGCTGAGGTATAGGTTCTGTTACCATCCCACTAGACAGGGCAAGAAGCTCAGAGTTATGTATTGCCCAATGTCAGTTACTGACAGAGCTGGGATTCACACTGGTTTCTTTCTCAAAACCCCAATTCTTAGCTACCACGCTTTATTGCCTCTTGTGGAACTGGCTTCAATAGGCTTCTTAGTTCTTTGCTTAACAGCAGCTTAGCTCCTGACTTAGGGAGCTAAAGTGACCAGAAAGCAGTTCACTGAGCATCTTGAGTACATGGACCTAAACTGGCCTCTTAACATCAAGGGCAGTGATGGGAAAGGAGATCTTTTAGACACCGAAACAGTTAAGCACAGATATAACTGGTGAACCATGCGTGGAAACAGATATCCTTAGTTTTTTCACTATGATACTATATGACCCTTCCAATGTAATAAGGTTAGTTTGCAGTAACTAATGCTTTATTACCAGGAGTGTGATTGGAAGATGATATGGATTCAGTAGTTGTTTAAAAACCATTTATAACACTTAAGGTTATTAAAACTTCATTAACTGGAACTAAAGCAGCATATTTTATCTAATGGTTTTATTTCTTTTTATTTATTTGCTATTTAAATATTTTAAAGAACTTAACCATAAATACATTTCAATCACATAGGCAATTAAGCAGGTATATAAGTAATGCTTCTTCTACTAGGTGGCCTTGTAAGATGCAAAACATGCAGAGGAAAAGGGAGCATTTTTTATTCCCCAAGGACCAAGACTAAGAAATTACAGGCAGAGACATTGTCTTTTGACTTAAATCTCCTAATTGCATGATGGCAACAAACAAAACAGTAAATGCAGGCTCACAGCTACTATTAATTGTTGGAATTTCTCAGATGCATGTATTCAATTTCACTTCTGGAAATAAAATTTAGATAACGTGTTAGGTAACCTTTATTTGAATTAAAGATAGAAAACAATGTACTTTAATTTGCAGTTTAATGATGTAAGTTATTATAACAATCTAAAATATAGTAATTCCTTTATTATCCTTTTAAACATTATATATGTAAGGAATAAAGCTAATCATTTATGAAGTTTAACAATAATCAGAAAATTTTCTTCAAAAGAATTTCCTTAAGTATGTTTGTTGCTTAGGTATAAAGCTCATAATTGCCAAAATACTTATATTAAAAGCACGAACCCAAGTCATTACATAAAAATAAGAGCACGTTTGTAAAAAAAGTGCTATAGAAGAAGGTGCACAAAAATCATGCACTTTATACATACTTTCCAAAAGGACGTAAACTGTATTTTAGGCACTGTCATCTCTAGATTTTCTGTACCAACAATATATAGCAGGACTTTTGATGTCCAGATGCTATTGCAGAAAGATGACTAAGGCAACCACGTGCAGAAAGCTTGTATGTAATGCCCCAAAAATACAAAGAAAGACAGCATTCCAAACATAAAGGTTTGCAGTGATAGTCTGATACTTGAAAGGCTTGGAGTGTCTTCATGTGATTAAAAAGTAAAAATCTAAGAATGCCACTGGAGTCATATGAATGGTACTTGATATACAGAATCTTCACCTTTAAAATTACTTTTTAACTTTTTAAACAGGCAGGCATTTCATTTCTGTGCTGTTTTATCGAGTGTCTATGTGGCTTATGTACTTTATAAATAGCCAATTAATTGTGAGAGCCAACTACTCCTAAACCCTAGTAAAAATGGACATATTTTAAATATGGAATGTTTAACATAGATATTGGACTTCAAAAATGACAGTCTTCAACAATTCCCCATGTTTTATCATATTGCATAGCTGAAAATTCATCTACTATTTATAAGTGCTCTGTTCATTCAGGCAGAATTTTGCTCCAATCTCCTTCATTTTCCTTCTTTCATACTGTATAGTGGATCCACAAGTTTATTGTGCACATGCATTAAACCTTAAAGAAAAAAAGCACAGTTCTAGTTGTATTTTTAGTTTTGAACTATTTCTCATTTACTTTAGAAAACAAGATTTTATAAGATACATTAAGTATGTTGGTTCCCATCTGATACAAAATAGCTTTATTGAAAAATGCAAATGGAAATGTTTCAGAATGTTTAGTTTTAACTACCTAGCAAATACCAATTTACAATTATTTATGAATCTGTAGATCTAGAATGTGTTATAGTTTCTTTGGGAGTAATCAGAAGTAGGAGCAATTCTTGTCTTCAGAGCTTCAGTATGACAAGATAAATTTGAATATTGACTTGGTTAATACATTTTAATTACATCTGAAAGTCTGTTGAGTTGGATCCTCTGGCAATTCCTCTACCAGACTCCAGCAAGGGGCTCAGAACTGTTATTACACTAGGATAGTTTTAATTCTCCAATATATTACCCTATCCATTCATCTGGCGAATTATTTTCCATTATTTTTACATGTGTATTTACAATAGGGGTTGATTACAAGCCACACTGAGGCAGGTTTATTAAAACAATACAGAAGTATTAATTTCCAAGTAGAATTAAATTTCATCTCATAATTGGTATACTACTAAGTTGTTCTTATTAAAGCTTTTTGGAAAATATCTTCCAGTTACTCCTATGTCTTAATGTATACATACTATATTTCTTTGAGGAAAAAAAAATTGTTCCAATTAACAAATTAAAGATTTTTTATTCTGGAGGTTCAAGAAATGAGTTAAATTTTCCAGATTGTTAAGAACATGGGCTGAGCTGAGCAAAGGGACTCAAAATGTGGTTTTCTCAGGAAACATGCTTATTGGATTGGAGACACAGGGTACTTGTGTTAGTGAGGAGATGTTCTTGTCAGGAAGGCTTGCAAAAGCACTCTAGAATCCAAACTCGGAGGAAGACTCACTTTTAAGAGATAAGCAAAGAAGGGGACATGCAAAGAGCACTGAAGTCGTGATGTAGTAGGAGAAAGACCAGAAGTGGGGAGTCCTGAGAGAAGAGAGCAACATTCACTAGTGCAACTGAAAGTGAGAAAATGCAAACTACTCAACTGCCTACTTCAGTGTCTAATCAGCACCTGAAACTTCACAAGGTCCAGACCCATTGTTTCCCTTCCAAACCATTTCAACTAAAATCTTGGTATATTGTTACCCTTTCTTTAATAAGCTGCTAAAGCCAGACCACTAAAATTCACTGATTTTTTTCTCTATCCTTTAATTTAGCAGCAAGACCAGTTGGCATTACTTTCAAAATATATCCCAAACTAGCCACAGCTCTTTATCTCCATGGCTACCATACTAGTTGAAGCCACTGTCATCTCTAATCTACTTCCAACTCAACACTCCACTATTCCTCATTTCCCCCATCCCATAATAAAATTTCTAGACAGCAGGCAACCTAATCTTTTTAAAAACAGACACGATTATACCATTTCCCCATTTAAAATTCCCGAATTGCTGTGGTCACTTAGAAAATAATTTAGATTTTATTCTGTTGTCTTTGTTTGTCCTGATCTCATGTCCTCTCACTTTCCCTTTTATGCTGTACTCAACCCTGGGTTTGTTGCTATTACTTAGAAAGGCTAAGCTTGGTTCCGGTGCAGGGTCTTTATACTTGCTGTCTCATTCAGCCCGGAATGCTCTTCTCCCTGAGCAAAGCAAGACTGCCTCTTGTTTATTAGGTCTCAGCCCAAATGTCACCTTAAAATGAATTATAATTTCACTTTCTTTAGGGCAATTTTCACTCTTAGAAAATGTTTTTCTACCATGTCTTCAACTAGAAACTATGGTCCAGGACCTTATAGTCACTGCTCTAAGTCTTGGTCTAAAAATGTCATGGCACATGGTGGATGCTCAATAAACATGTAGTTTAAAAGTGTGAAGGCTCAGTGAGACCGTGGTATCTAGAAGCTTTTTTTTTGTAATTTAAAAACCCAGAACGTATATTGATAAAAAGGAGGCAGCAGAAAAGGAGCGGATGGAGACATAGATTCTGTAGTTCAAGGTCCTAAAGTTAGGGAAGTTAGGACAGAAAAGGATCAAGGGCATTGGCAGAATCGCTAGACCTGAAAGGAAAGGATGCTTGAAAATTAAGATATATTTAGAATTGTAGAGGTAGGATTGTGGAGGGTCATAAATTAAGCCTTCCATGCAGCTGAGGGGAAAGAAGGATCAAAAGGTTAAGATGAGTAATGGGAAAAGGTTGAAAACAGCAAAACTCAGAGCAACAACTAACCCAGGATATAAAAGGATTCTTGTACAAAAAAGTACCAAAACTAAGCATGAAGGCACTTGATTGGTTCTGCCTCCACCTTAGGTATATGGCAGCCACTTTAGCTATCAGGCTTTATTTATAAAATGGAGTAATCTCAGCTCAAAAATTCAAAACAGAGCAATGTACTACTCAACATATTGCATAAAAGTCTTATAATTATGTTTGGTTTAGATATGTCTTAGATAATGTAATCTCTAATATTTCAGTGTTTCCATAGTGTTTCCACAGTGAAACAATGTTCCATTGTGTAACTTTTCTTATAAAGTTACACAACCCCTCCACATGCTTACCAGTGCTTTGAAGACAAAAAGCATGTGATAAAAACCCATGAATATGTGTACAAACCAACAAATACTTCGTTCATTAGACTGTTTTATGCAAAGCTATCCCTGAGGCTGGATTTGAAAGATACTTACTGGCATTTGTTCTTTGCTCAAAAAAATGTTAACAAGAATATTTTTCTCAGTAATACCCTCCTCCCCAAACCCCATTCCCTTTTGGTGCTATAAAGGCTGCTGCAGTTAATTTTACACCCTCATAGGGAAGAGATTAGCACTAGGATGTTCAAATGCAAGAGTTCTGAGGGAAGCCAGGGCAGAATTAATCCATAACCATTCTGTCAATGAACATTCTGTGTTCTTCGTGGAACCTAGTATTAAACTACACTAGTCCTTTTGCTCTTGGCCTACATTCTAATATTGGGATTTTCAAGGTTGAAAAAAAAAATCCAAGGAGGGGCTGGCCCAGTGGCATAGTGGTTAAGTTCTCGAGCTCTGCTTTGGCGGCCCCAGGGTTTGCTGATTCAGATCCCAGGCACAGACCTACGCACCGCTTATCAAGTCATGCTGTGGCAGGTGTCCCACATATAAAGTAGAGGAAGAAGGGCACAGATGTTAGCCCAGGGCCAATCTGCCTCACCAAAAAGAGGAGGATTGGCAACAGATATTAGCTTGGCTAATCTTCCTCGCCAAAAAAAAAAAAAAAATCGAAGGCACCATTATTATTAAAAAAGTTAAACACTCCATATTCAAATATAACAAAAGAGTTAAACTTAGCATGCAAGAAAAAATAGAGCAATCAATACGGAACCAGTTCTGACTTCCAGACTGATGACAGTTAGAAGCTGTCCACCTGGTAGAAATCAAGTAAAGCAACAACTCTTACCTGGAGTCCTAGGATATAACAGCTAGAGGAGGTTCAAAGAGTCTTTGAATCCTCCTGAATTAATATACATACTTATGTGTATGCACACTTGTGTATGTGCATGTGCACACATTCTGTAAGCGATCCATGACCCACAAAAGGTGAAGAGCTACTGACACATGAGCCCTGGTTTGCTTTCTGGCTCTTAATCTAGACATTCCCTTTTGTTTTTAAAGTGCAAACTAGCCCCATTTTATTAATACACTTTGTTTTGTATTCTATTAACAGGAACTTTTTCGACTGCTGTGTTACCTCATCCTTACATCTGTGCTGTTACTTAAGCCATTTCCTTCCAAAGAAAATGCTACCTGTCTTCCAGGGCCCTCTATCCCATCAGATTCAATTTTCTTCAACTATTTAACTGTAAATCTCTCCCTTATTTAATATTTTTCGACTTAATAGTGTGATTTACATAATTTAGCACTTAAACTGAAATGGTTTCAGTCTTGTGTTCATCTGTCCATCTACCTGCCCAACGACCCACAAATGATCAAGTGCCTCCAATGTACCAGGCACATTTTTAGACTGAAATAATGCAGCAAACAAAACTAAAGTCCCTAACTTCGTGGAGCTTTTATTTTAGTGCAATATATTACATTTTATTTTCTCAAATTTCTCAGTCTTAATGAATCAGCTTTTTATGAAGAATGTCAACTACTTTTAGGCAGGGATACTTCTTATACTTATTGGGACTAACACTGTGTGAGACAATGTAGTTGAAGGCACCTTAACCCATGTTTCTTGGCTGATGACACTAACTGGAAAATACACATTTAACAAAAATATACATTAAAGAATAATTTTTTTATAGTGCAAAAGAACTATCTGCTAATGAAAAAGGTTTACCAGATGATATCGCCAAACAGAACCAATCCTATTTAAACAGGATCTAACTGAAAAGTTTAATCCATTTTCAATAGTCAGTATGTAAAGAGAAGTAAAATGGAAACTGGAGAGAGAGAAAGGAGAGGGGAGAACAAAGACAATGGTAATTTCAGCCATGTGGTTTAGAAGATGTATTGTCTTGTAGAGGATCAGATTGTAGAGGATCATTCTACTTGACAGAATTCATCTGTCCTTTGCTTACAGCTTTGATCATGGAAAGAATATATTAAAGCTTTAAAATACAACTTAGAACACTGGGATACATTTTAAAAATTCAACTCCTTTATAAAGTTTTTTTTTATCTATACATTGGCTATAACTTTTACACATAAGGTAAGGCTGCTTCCAGACTGGAAATTATTTTGAAAATTTTATTACTTGCTTTTTGGATAATCAAGAATTTACTATGACTTAAAAATATTTGGACAACCTTCTACACAAGAATTTGATAAAAATAAATAATTGTACTTAAATCATAAACAGAAATAATTATTCTGAGTATTGATAAAAATGCACAGACTTCCAGACATGTTGCCAAAAGAAGAAAAGTTAAATCTAGACCATAAATGTCAATTTTATGGTTTTGGCTCAATCTGAACTCATTCAACCTCTGTCAACCTATTGGAGTATGGTCTAAAAAGGATGAAACAGAAAAAAATGTTCAGGATGATGATGTCTTGAAAATATATTATCTCAAGGACATAAAACATAAGTTTTATTTGAAAAGGCAAAAAGAAAAAACTAGAACTAATAAATATTAAACTTTGTTTTCCTGTGATTTACTTGTGTCTTTCAAAAGGTATATATTGAAATAAACTTCCACTTACTAATAATTCTTATTGTTTTAGATGTAGTTAACCTAGATTTTCTTCAGAAGCTAATTAATTAGAACCCTTTAAGATTCCTGTTGGCACTTTTAGGTGATGACAGAAGAAAGCGTAGTGATGTGAATGGAATCTGAAGAATTATAGATGATAACTACAAGATTCATATCCTCCAGTACATCTTGAAGTGATATAACTGAATGAGGGTATGGCAAATGTATAAAACTACATTTATAATATGTATTAATTTCTGAATATTCAATTATTATACCCTATAACAAAATACTATAAAATGAGATCTATCTATAGCCCAGAACAAAATCTCAATTCTATTTTTCTCCATATTGAAGGAGGCATCCTGACAGGCTGATATCCTGAATCTCTTCAGAAATATACAGCTCCAAAGTGGAAAATACAGTGTCCTCAAAAGGGCAGTGCAGCAATTCGCTCATGAATAGTCTGCACTTCAAAATGTTTCAGAAGAGCTTAGAATCTGGATAGATAACTGGAAGAACTAAATACTTATAAACATCTACTTCCCTTCTGTTTTAAATTATCTTTAACCTATGTCCTTACCGTTTTGGAAGCAATTATTATGGTATGAAAAAAATAGAAATACGATTTAGGTCATATAACATAGCTAGGGTTTACTCTTCTTCTCTAAGGCAGTAAAACAGTGGACAGAAGCCCAGACTCCAGATAAGCCTGGTTTCACTTACCCAGCTCACATATAAGCTGTGTGACTCTGCATAAGGGACTTAACATCTCTATTAAGCCTGTTAACTCATCTGTAAATGGGATTATAAGAGTACCTATTTCATAGAATTGTGAAAATTAAGTAAATCAGTAAGAATAATGCATTTAGAATAATGCCTTGTCATAAAAGTATTGGCTATTATTATTATTAAATATCTTATTAAATATTAACTTCTCTAAAATGTAAAAATTCCCTGTTAAAAACCAAATTGACAAAATCAGACAAGTACAGAGGTTTATCTGAAGATTGCGGGTAGTAAAAAATGGCAATGTTAAATGAATCCCCTTAAAACTGCCATTAAAATATGTGGATAATGAGGATTCCTTCTATTAACTTTTTCAAGGAGTCTAATATTTGTTATGAAATCTGAGTACTGTATGGATATATATGTGTAAAACTCCATCCGAGAGCTCTGTCTTATTCACAACTCATCACTGAAATAGTCTCTGCTTTTATCTGTCAAATTACTAGGAAGCTATCAGTTTTTCAGTTTAATTTGATATATTTTGGCTTGGTAAAAAACTGGTAATTTAACTGATAAAAATATAAATGACTGGAAATAATTTAAGTGTTTAACAATAAGGAAATGCTTAAGTAAATGTCTTAATGTCTTAAAAAGACATAATGATATGTCTACTTGACTATTATATAGCCATTAAAAATGCTTCTGAAGAATACTAAGACAGGAAAATACTTACAACAGATAAGTGCAAATACAAAACTATATACAAATGATCAAAATTTTGTTTTAAAAATTAGACCATTTCCACTGTTTGCCATACTTCAATCATTTGTGTATCACCTTCAAGATTTCTGCCATATTCACATATTTACATGAACTATGAGTTACTGGTTTCCTTTAAATTGAACTTATAGGGCCGGCCCCGTGGCTTAGCAGTTAAGTGCGTGCACTCCGCTACTGGCGGCCTGGGTTCGGATCCCAGGCACGCACCGACATACCGCTTCTCCGGCCATGCTGAGGCCGCGTCCCACATACAGCAACTAGAAGGATGTGCAACTATGACATACAACTATCTACTGGCGCTTTGGGGGAAAAAGAAAAAGGAGGACGATTGGCAATAGATGTTAGCTCAGAGCCGGTCTTCCTCAGCAAAAAGAGGAGGATTAGCACGGATGTTAGCTCAGGGCTGATCTTCCTCACACACACACAAAAAAAATTGAACTTATAATTTTTAAGTTTATATACTACATTTCATGAATATGACACTGAAGACTGTAAGACACACCATTATTTTATGTACCACAGGAAAAAAATGCTACCAGATAAGCTATGACACCAATTTTAAACACATCCCAATTTCAGATAAGGTAAATGTGAAAAAAGATGTGTCTTAGAGGCAATAAAATGTGGTAACTTGTTTAACCTTGTCAAAGCATTGATATCCATGAGATACAGGTTTGACTGATTCAGTATATTTTTTCTACTACATGTTAAGTAAACACCTAGTTACTAGAGTAAAAAGATTAAAATATATATTCATTCATGTAATATCAGTAGTTCACATACTACATACTTTGTGAATTACTGACATGTATGACTAATTTCATAATATTTTCATATCAGCTATATAAACACAGGTGCTTTACAAAGAGTACCTATTTGTACATCTTGTGTATGTGTGTGTGTTTATATGGTGTGTGTGTTTATATGTGGAGTTGACTCTTAAGCAGGGAATGAGTTCTAAACTGAGTGTAGTCAAAATTTTCCTTGAAAATCTCTTACATCACCCATTACATCAAGTGGATGTGGTTTTATATACACAACCTGGTATGGTAAGGTTTAAGAACTATTGAACTGGACTGCAGGAAGAAGCAAAAGGAAACACACATGCAGAAGTCTGGACAATCAAACTCCTGCTTACTTACAGAGTTTATTCTATACTGTTTTTGACATTTAGCCATTATAACTTTAATATATGGGAATAATTTGTTTGAAACTGAAGATTAAATGAGATAGTGAGTGACCCATCTTATCCTCTGATTAGGTTCTAAACATAGCTTGGGGAGGGGGGTGAGATGGGTAAACAATGAAAAGAAAATCAGTAAGGACATATATACATTTTGTTTTGGGTTACTTAATCTTGTATATTCAATATGAAAGTAAAATATTTTATTAAATTTTGGATTTCAAGAAAAATCTTGTTTACTGAAAATATGAAGAGATTCTCTTCATGAAAACAATAGGAAACTACTCTGAAAACTATTATCTGAGGTGAGACATTTCTCTTCGTTGAAAGAACTGGCAACTGTGTCAACACACGCCAGTTTTCAACAGGCCACAGTGCAGGATGTAACTCCACGGTTATTTTAAGTTTATATGTCATCTACAATGGAACATTCTTACAGTCTGCTTTTGAAATTTCAATGCTCACCTTTAAAGTATTTCACAGTTTTAACTCTTAATTCTAAAGTAGCATCTTCATCACACACAAAAATAGTTCGAGGATGCTGCTGGAAAGCCGAAACAGTCCACATGTGGTTGACTCCTTCTTCTATTGCTTTGTAGAGAGCAAATGCCTTGTGTGCACCTGTTATGAGGATCATTACCTGAAAAATGAACGTTACTTGTTAATTAATTCTTAAAACATGATCCAAATGGTTAAGAAGCTCTATTGTTTTTTAAAACAAAGACTTTAGCACCAATATTCTCCTGACGGTAAAATAAAAATAAACAGCTCCATATTTCTTCACAGTTCAAGGTATTTATTTCTACTTTTTAAGGTAACAGGCAAGCACAAAGTGTATCTCTTCTGGTTTAACAAAGTAAAATAGTATTTTGTTATGGAGTATTACTGAATATAGAATAGTGCCTCTCATTATTAATATATTAAGTACTGATGTGCAGAAGAGACCTGGGAGAATGAAGAAAAAGAAGCAAAAGGGCTGTTTTGCAAAAGCAGAATTACAGGTCAACAAAGAATTTATACAACCAGGAATGATATACCAAATTGCTCTAGTCCAGATGAACTATAGCTATTACTTTGGAAAAGCAAAAGACTCTAAAATAACAGATATTTAATCTAGAGAAAGAAGCTTCAAGACTGTTTCATTGAACATGTGCTATCTAAAGTTGTCTTGGAACAAAAACTAGATTTAAAGAAGGATTCAGGGTCTACCTCAGTGTCCTTAAGCACGCATGACTGAGGATATCCTTATGAACTAGAGAAAATCCAAGCCCCTGGTCCCAAATCCCTAACAGCCTATGAGATAATTCAAAGAACATGTGCAAATGTGAGTGAATGTATATGAATCTTCATCATTTTTAGCAGTAAATGGATCGTATTTTACAAGTTCACCTAAACAGTTTAATGTAATAAATCTTTAAACATGATTTTTTTCTCATTAAAATTGTTAACTAAAAAATGAATGTTAAGGTGGTTGTAATTCTAAAGTATCTATAACAACATAAAAATTCTGCATTGCATATTTTATAACCAGACTTTCTTAAACAGGGAGGAAATTAATGAACCAGATATTCCTATATTTATCTCATCAAGATTACTATTTGTTTTTCATTTTGAAGCTACATCTTGATTAATATCAAAGCCCATGAATGCATTAGAATATATATGAATTTCTACTAATGTTTTTATTGATACTTCTTGTTCTTAAGTATAAAGATCTAAGCTCAGTGAAGAATTTAATATGGCATCACATATAATTAAAAGCATTTATTGTTTAAAACAAAAATCAATCATGTTTGATACAATAAGGTAACTACAACACTGATTAATGGATTTGTTAATTAGTTTTCCTTGCTGGACATTATAGCAATTTTTTTTTTTAAGACTGATATGGAGTTTAAAAAAAAAAAAAGAAATTCAAGTTCTTTGCTTTATGTTGTCTTCTAATGCAGAATCTTTGGAGTTAGAATCCAAGAATCACGGTCCGTTAAGTGATTATTATGCAATCTGGTAGAAGTTCTTAGACCCGCACTTGAAAAGTCTCTATAAAGCTACTTTAACACACACTGAATTAATGCAGTGATTACTGCATGATGGATATTTTCTGAAGTTCATTTTAGGAGAGTTTTAATATATGATTTGGTGGTTTCAAAGTTAAACACTGAACTTAGCACCTTCCTTGAATTATCTCATTTAACTCCTCAGAACAACACTATGGGATAAATACTATTCTTATTCATATTTTACAGATAAGGAAACTGAGGCACAGATATTCTGTAACTTGCCCAAGGTCTTGGTAAGGCTATGACACAAACAAGAAGTCTGACTCCAGAGTTCATATTCTTAACAACTACATTATATTGCCTTTTGAGAGACAGAAACTGTTAAAAGAGATCTACCAATTAGACGGTATGAGCTAAGAGTCTTTCATTATTGAAGCAAAAATTATAAAAGAGAATAGGAGAGGTGGCAAGAAATTTCAACATCAAATGTATACTGAAAAAAATGAAAAGACAAACGTTGATGAGAAGGAAACTACACAGTGATGCTAGCATTGACATTATGAAGGGAGTGGAAGGAACGGAGGCTGGTGGAAGTTTGGGGTGGGATGAAGAATTACTCAGTGTGTGTGCATGCCTAAGACATATACAACCTTTCATTGAGAATTAAGAGAAAATATATGGAAAAGCAGAAATTGAAAAAAATTGGTCTCAGAATATAATTTGACATTGATATGTGGTTACTTCTACTCTACCTGCTCCACTGTTCTCAAGGAGAGTATTTCTCACATCATGGAAAAGCTTTAGAGTAGCTCCTATCTGAAACCAAGTCTTAAGGATAAGCAAAAAAGCTCCACACAGGGGGCATTTCAGAGAGTTATGGTCAGTAAAAAGCTAGAAATCCGTTAAGGCTGGAGCAGAGGGAAATGAAAAGAAATGGTTGAAAACTGGTTGAAATCTGAAATACAGAGCCTTTTTATGCCAAACAAAGAGGCTAGACCTCATCTTGTGATGGAATAATAGGGAATCAGACTCTTAATTACACAGATGAATAATAACTGAACTGTTTTTGAAAAAATAATTCAGGCTCTAATATAGAGAACAGATAGGTAAAGAATGGAGACAGCCATGATTTAGGATGGGTTTGCAATAATCTTTAAAAAAACTGATATAGGCTTGAATTAAGGTAGTTGTGATAGAGGGCTGGATCCTTATTTATCTCTAAGCTATCTGTGAAGTGGTCAGGATTTGGTGACTGATTAGACATGGAGAAGCAGCAGCTGAGAATGACAGACATGTCATTTTAAAAATAAGACTGTGGGCCGGCCCGGTGACTTAGCGGTTAAGTGTGCGCGCTCCACTACTGGCAGCCCGGGTTCGGATCCTGGGCGCGCACCGATGCACCGCTTCTCCGGCCATGCTGAGGCCGCGTCCCACATACAGCAACTAGAAGGATGTGCAACTATGACATACAACTATCTACTGGGGCTTTGGGAAAAAAAGGAGGAGGATTGGCAATAGATGTTAGCTCAGAGCCGCTCTTCCTCAGCAAAAAGAGGAGGATTGGCATGGATGTTAGCTCAGGGCTGATCTTCCTCACACAAAAAAAAAATAAATAAATAAATAAAATAAGACTGCTCTAAAATCTTTTTGTCAACTTACTATGAAATTTCAGTCCTTGAAAGGTCTTTTTTTCACATACCAATGATTTTTAGAAGAAAAACTACATTTGTATGTTCAAGTCCAGATATATTTATGTTAAGATCAGTTACTTATTTATCATACCTTGTCTGTACTCTTTCCTCTGAACCTGTCCCATCCTGCTGCCAGAAAGGAATGCAGTTTCGGGTTTCCATATAATTTAACCACTTATAAGCTGACTATAATTTGTTCTGTTACTCTCAGGGAAGGAAATGATAGTCCAACTAAAAAGCTAAAAATTAGGCAGGATCTACTGTTCAGAGCTCTTGCCTTCTTAAATATATCAAATTTACAACAGATCCAGCCCCAATTGGGTTCTTTTTCTGCTGGAAACCAACTGGGCTATCCTCCTACAGTCAAGAAGCACATTAAATTATCCTGAGCCTCCAAAAGTAGTTTAGTGTTAACTAGCATTGCATCTTTGTCCCAACAGTCTTTTCACAAGACTATTTCACTTAGAAACAGACCATATGATCAGTATGATTTTAGGACCTCAAACTGTGAAGCAGTAATAGGGAAGTGAAGTAGGACCCTAAAAGAGGTGGTGCCTAATTCTTAGTTTACAGCTCCAAAAGACTTAACTTAGTTGAGTTTTAAACATGGCAATGAGACTGACAGCAACTATTAACAGCTAGACAATTTATATTGCAAAGAGGATGCAACCAAAATATCACTTATTTGGCGCCATAATTTCTCCCAAATCTATAGACCTCAAGGGAAAAACATCAAAGAACATTTAATTCTTACTTCTCTAGCATCCATCACTGTTCCCACACCAACTGTTAGAGCCATAGTTGGCACCTTCGATAAATCTCCGTCAAAATATTTAGCATTTGCCAAAATGGTGTCCATTGCTAGAGTCTTTAATCTTGTCCTTGACACTAAACTGGATCCTGGCTCATTGAAAGCGATATGACCATCTGGACCAATTCCTTTCAAAAGAAATACACATACACACATATACACATAAAGTAAATAAGGTTGCTCACATAGAGTAAATAGTTTCTCAAAGTTCAACATGTTTTAAGAGCACAGAAACAGTCATAAATACTCTTACCTTGTTTTATTTGATAGCTGAATTTCTAATGCTGCATTAAAATATCTGTTCCTGAATTTGATTCAACAAGTATTTCAATGTTTTCCATATGCTTAGTATTGAGCTAGCATGATTTTAATAGCAGTAAAATTAAGTATCACCTTATATTAGAGTAACACTTTACAGTTTACAAAGCATTTTCACATGCATCATCTCAAACCACAGATATATTTAACAATCTTGTGAGACAGTCAGATTACGCATGTCTATTTCCCTCATCTCCCCACTCTTTTTTTAAGCTCAAAAGAAAACTCTGATGCTCAAGGATAATATGTGACTTGTTTTGTCCCATATTGTTCACGGTAACAGTTTAGTAAATACAGAGATAAGACTCAAATCTAAATGTTCTGATTCCTAACTCAGTAGTCTTTATACTCACACTTTTTAACTTGCATGGTTCTAGTCTAGATGGGGCAATTAACTACTAGACCTCCCTATAGTATAGTTCCCTTACTTATAAAAATGTATAGATTGGACAAGATATTATCTAGGGCAGCAGTTTTCTTCCAACTTTTTTGACTGCAACCTATTCTAAGAAATACATTTGCACTGCAATCTAGTACACGCACACACTTATCAATATAATAAAAATAAAAATTGCATGAAACAATACTTACCCTTACTAGTAGCCATACAAACTACTTTTGATTACATTCCATTTCATTAACAAAAGGTACAGAAGGGAAATGCTGGATGTGACTGACTATATTGATTTCATGACCTAATAATGGGTGACAACTACAATTTGAAAACACTGTTTTAAGGAGACCTATTGCCAGCTCTAATACTCTAGGATTGCCCCTAAAATATAGATAAGAAGATGACATTCCGTATTTGAAGGAAATTGGAGATAAATGTTTTTATAAAATCAAGAATCGTTCTATGGCATAAATAAATCAAGTTTTATATACATGTACCTTAATAGCTAGTCAGATTTCTGGCAATTTCAATCAAAAAATAAACCCACAAATTCTGTGAGTCAAAATATGTTATATTTATATTCTGCATATTTACTTTAATGATAGATATGTGTATTTTACCGACTCAACATACAATTCTAACAAATTTTTCCCAGGCTACAACAAGGTAAAAATAATGACAAAGAGTAACCTGATTTTGAAGGAAGAAAGAAGAAATGAAAACCTCAGGCAGCAGATGTAAACTACCAAAGCACAACAATCTAGGAATTTTTAATGTGGGGACATAAAGCCAGACCTACATGTGGTTAATATGTATGGACTGTTTCCACTATTAAGTACCATAACTATAAGTTTTAAATTATAGATACGCATTTCTTTCTAGATTTGTAAAGCTGTTATGTTTTTCTTAAGTATACATCTGACCAAATATATATTTATATTTCTCTCTGTATGTATAAAGAGGAAAGGATGGAACCAGGAAAATAAAAGTTCCAGAAAAAACAGGAAGTCCTCAAAGATCAACACTGGTGATTTGGGTCACACAAAAGTGTACAGAAAGCCGAAATTATCAGCAATTGTTCATGATGGAGAAGGGTCAATACATTCACAGGGTACTGACCCTGAGTATCTATCAAAAATTGAGTTTCCTGATATAAAATGTCTTTTAAAAGTATTCTACAAAGCTTTATAAAACGTTCTTAAAAATATCATGAAATCTAAAAACCATGGCTAATTCTTATTCAGTCTTTAAGTCTAAAGTAAGATATCAGCATCTTTATGAAACATCTCTAAAAGCTCAGAGTCTGGATTATATGTCTTTCCTACGTTCCTATACTTCTGTGAGGTAGAATAGAAACTTCACGAGAGTAAGGACTTTGTCTTCCTCATTACTTCCTTACCATTGAGAATAAAACATGTCACATAGGAGGTCCTCAATACATAATGGCTGAATAAAGGAATGGATAATTGCTAATCTTAGGTATGCTCACTATAGTTTCTCTCTCCTTCCTCTACCCTGCTCTGCTCCCCTCACAACAGGGGCTAAAACAATCGTAACACCCTATGTCTCTTTTAGGCAGAATAATTGTCGTCTAGGGATAAGTACTTGTCCCAAGCTGAAACAATCAGAATTTCTCTCCACAAATTCTGAAACTTGACCAGGGATACTGAAAGAAAGAAGGCATCTAGAGCTGAGGCATTTGATGGTAGCACTGCAAGAGAGGGTCGATGAGTTCTTGCTTTGGAGATCTGAGGCTCCCTGGTTCTTGTTCTTCCGAAGACTTGGTTGTTTCAACTCTTCTATCAATTCTGTGAGTTACCCCAGAATCATTCCAAGTAATTCACTTCACGTCCCATTAGTAAATTACTGTTACTCGCAAACCAAAGAATCTAATCATGTAACCAAAGGAATGGGTTAAAATTTTCCCCAGTGCCTTATTTTTACTTTTTAAAAACAAATTATTTTAAGATAATTGTAAAGTTAATAATGCCTTTAGAGTCTACTTATAAAATTCCATGTTTGTGTATCTTCTTGCTGGGCGTGGGTCAGGGATTGCATGATACACCTTACTCTTTCTCTCAACACTTCTGTCATCAGAGGAAGAATGAGAACATTTGAGAGTCGATATTTCCTCCTTTTTCTTTTCTACTGAGGGAGGGGAATTCCTGCTCCATTTCCTAGAAGTGAGCAATGGTGGATTAATATTCTTGAGCTCTTCTTGTCCTACTATTTCCAATTCAGAGGGGAGAAGTGGGAAACCCCATTCTGGCCTCAAGCCCAACCTGCAATCTCTAATCCAACTTTACCTTTAATAAAGCTGATATTTTGATCCCATTTGGCTCAGTTCTTAGTGTTTTTATTAACCAAACCCTGGAACAAAAGAAGGGTAAGTGGTAAGACCCAGATACCAAGCCTCATCTTGAAAATCCAATGATAATAAACCTAGATCAACAAAGGCAAAGAATCAGTGAGATTCTTTCATGAGTACACATCCAATAATAAGGTATCCCAAACAGGAAACAGTTAAAAAAAAAAAAATGCTATAAGCTAACCCTTCTCTCCCTATACGCAGAGTAATTATTTCTTTTGGATAATAAATATAAAATGTTAGACCCTGGATCATCACATGACTACAGTGAAGATGTTAATGGAAGAGGCAAGGAAATCCTCTTACAATTTTTTGCAGAGAACAACTACAGAAAGCTTAAAACAAAAATTTGTAAAAAAACAAAGTAAAATTCTTTTTAGTAGTAAGAGTCAGTGATAAACATAAAAAATTATAATTTGTGCTCCATCTATTTCAAAGGGACAAGTAAGGTGGCTTATAGTGAGGAAAGGAACCAAAAAGCTTCAGCAAAAAGTAATGACAAGTGACTTAAAGCTATGAGGAAAGAAGAAAGTTCTACTAGAAATCTTTGATAAGGGAGATTCAGCCTTTAAAACTACTTTAAGCTATAAATGGTTTCTGGCAAGCAGGCAAAAAGACAAAATGGAGTTAAAGAGTTCTTATCAGTTTTCTTCCCCCCCAGTAAATTCTATTTGCCGGCATTGAGTCCCCAAGGGATTTGTCACATGAATCTTTATGTCAGGTCAATAAATTAACAGGAAAAAAAAAAAGTCCTCAAATGAAGAAGTAAAAAAAGACATTTTTCATGCAGTCATTTTCAATAATGAACCTTTAATAACTACCATGCCTTTTTGTATAACAGTAAATGAGTGAAAATATGTCCTGCTATAACTAAGATAAACAGTTTAGGCATATTATATTACAGAACAGTCAGGTGACGCATAAGGATATTTTAGTCAACGACAGACCGCATATATGACGGTGGTCCCACAAGATTAGCACCATATAGCCTAGGTGCGTGGTAGGTTACACCACCTAGCTTTGTGTAAGTACACTCTACGATGTTTGCACAATGACAAAATCGCCTAACAACACATTTCTCAGAACATATCCCTGTCGTTAAGTGATACATGACTATAATTCTACTTGATTTTGGTATAGAGTTTAGAAAGTCTAAAGAATGCATGGGTAGTACACTCCTTAAATGCTCTCAAATATCTATTGCCTTAGCCTTGATATTGGCAGACGCAAATGGTAATTATCTCAGAATTGAGCCATGTGCACAAAAATGGAATGCAAATATTTTCCAGGAATATTGAAGTAATATTAGAAATTTTATTTAAAACAGATAATTTTCTATTTTGAAAAGCAAAATAGTCTAACTTGGATTCTGGTTCAGATAAAAACCATCCCATGTACACAATAAAGTAATTGATATTGGTTCTGCCAGGCAGAGAGAGAAATTTCCTCAGAGAAAATTTCAATCTCACTGGATACTCTTAGAGGTAATTCAGTAAAAAAGCCGAAAATTTAATGATCTAAGGAACAATTATTTCAGCATCTACAGTTCAGATAGAAAGAGAAGACTTAAGTAACATTTAATGGAGTACCAACTACATACTAACCACTGTACCAGGCATTTTATACATGTTGTAATGCAATTAATTCTCACAAATTTTGGAATGAGTAATATTAATCCTGTTTTACAAATAATTATACTGAACTTAAATGAATTTCCCAGGGTCATACAGATAGTAAGTGGCCAAAACCATATACAAATTTATCTCTGACTCTAAAACCCAATTTTTCCCAGGGACAACCAACCACCTCAACCATACTTGGCCACCTCAACCATAAATTAACCTCAATACAGCAATATGGAAGATCTAAATTCATGTAATTTTGAGCAGTCTTCTAATAAATTAATTATAAGATACATCCAGAGAACTTAATGTTAATTTAGAGCTTTAGTATGTTTAGCTGAATACTAAAGAATCCGGCAAATAACAATTTTGGTTTCAGTTTAGTTGATGTTATACTATTCTGATGGTAATTAATTAGCTGTTTCAGATGCTTCATACTGATAATAGAAAACCATGTTGTCATTACAAAGGAAGAAACTTCTCCTCCTATTTTAAATGGTAGATTATGTACACACATATATGTATATATATTATAAATTTCAAGTGGAATTAGTCAATTAAACATTTATACACTTTGGAGTTTATTAAGACAATTACACAGCTTAATTCATATTAACTAAAGCCTGATGATAAAGTCTTACACCATTCTTAACCAATTTCTTAGTGAGATAAAGTAATTTAACTGTTCAGTACAGAAATGCTAAAATCCACCTGTTCCACATGCAAACTTTGAGAGATTTGACCCTGTAATTTGCTAAGAAAGCTGGCTTGGAGTTTTAAAGAAAAGTAAAAGGATAAGAATATTATTTAGGAAAAGAAATATATCACTCTTTTTGTAAGATGTGTTAAACTGTCAATTCTAAAGAGGTAATTAGAAGAATTCAGCAGGGATTTGGACCTATTTCTCAAGACATAATTTAAACAATTCCAACTTGCAACCTTAATATTACTTTTTGATGAAAATATAGTAAAATATAAATCAGTAGCTCAATAAATGGGTATTATACAGTGTCATGGGTGTTCTTTACATTATATAATGGTAAGATTTTTTTTTTTTAACTTTACTTAAAGCATCTAATTCAAATATTAAAAATGATTAATGACAAAATGTTTTACATACCTCCAACAAAAAGATCAATTCCTCCAGCTTCCTTTATTTTCTTTTCAAATGCATCACATTCTGCTTGTAAATCTGCAGCATTCCCATCAAGGATATGAGCATTATTAGGATCTATATCAATATGCTTAAAAAAGTTATTCCACATATATGAATGGTAGCTTTCAGGATGATTTCTAGGAAGTCCTAAATATAAAGTTAATAAATAAAAATGTAACTATTTCCAGAAATAAATCTAAAGTGTACTTTCTGATTAAGACATACATGTTATTTAAAATACCACATTCAACTTAAAAGCATTTTTATGTGGAATATATGCTTATCATATGCCAGGCATTATTGTAACCACTGTACATGAACGTATTAACTCAATTTGTACAACGTCTATGGAAATATTATCATCCCATTTTATAGAACAACAGAAGTACAGAAAAGTTAAGTAACTTTCCCAAGGTCACATAGCTCACAGAAGGGCTGGAATTCAAACACAGAAGTCTGGTTCATGTGCAATTTAATCACTATATTCCACTTCTCAAACACACAAAATTTTAACCAGTGGAACTGACTCGTGCGTTAAGCTCGACATAAAATAATTAGCCATACAATTGAAATGTTGGTCCATGTTCCTCCTTTATTCTTCCTATACACATGCAAAGAAAATTGAATCGTAACGGTTCTTCGACTATCACTTAGACTACCATTAAAAATGTATTCTTGTATTTAAATTTTAACACAGAGTTTAGATGCATCACAGATCTTTCCAGTTAAGTAAGTTAACAATCAATAAATTATAAAAGTTTTGTGGCTACAAATCCAGTAACGATCCACATAGTGACGTTTTGGTCAACAATGGACAGCGGTGGGCCTAATAAGATTAGTACCATATAGCCTACATGTGCACTAGGCTATACCATCTAGGTTCGTGTAAGTACACTCTATGATGTTTGCACAATGATGAATCCACTAAGGATGAATTTCTCAAATGTATCCCTGTCATTAAGCAAACATGAATGTATAAATAGCCTTGTATTTGAAAAATCCTTATTTTATGTAATTACTTTTTACATACACATTACTTATTTATCTCCACAACAACACTGGTTTTAACTTTGCCTTAAGAAAAAAAAAGAGAATGAGAAATGTGAAGGGACTGGCTCAAGGGTACATGATTGGTAAGTGGCAGAGCCCAAGATGAATGCAGATCTTCTGATTTCTGATTTCTAGTTCCATATTCCTTCCACTTTATTGTGCTGTCATCACAAAAATATAGATTTTTTTTTTATACAAACTCTCAACCTCATCACAAGGCAATATACTCCAGAAATATATTCATATTATATTCAAAACATAAATTCAAATAATATATTAATATGCTCAAAATATATTCATTTTATTTAAAATATAATATATAAGATATCCAAATAATATATTCAAATAATATAGCTTACCTACATATTCATCCATGTTAAAGGTCTTCACATATTTAAAAGAAAGGTCTCCATTCTTGTGATATTCTATTAGTTTTTTATAACATCCTAAAGGTGTACTCCCTAAAACAGACAATGATTCCATTTTCTAACATAACTTGAAAATCTATTTTTTAAAAAAGTTTATATTATCTTTATTCTCTTCTTACTTAATGATATTCTATATTTCTACTTAGGCAAACAATTATTAATAGGCAAAAAATTATTAATTAGGCAAACAATTAACAAATATAAGTTAAATTAGTCTCTTTACAAGGTACCTTGAAATTTTAGTAAACTAGAATTGTTGAATAAAAACTGGACATCTATCAACAGAAATTACAGTTTGGAAAATTTTTCTTGAGTTGTTGAGTATTTGGAATTAATGTTGAAGATTCCAAGATTAGTAACTTCTAGAGAGCACATCAGAATTAAAAGAAAAATAAACATCCCATCTTTTGAGAAAAATCTTTATTATTTAGGGAAGGATTTGTAGAGTAAATGATACATAAATAGGTCAAGTGTTGACTATTTAATGAAATCAAAAGGGAAACTAGAGCTAAATTTAAATATTGCCCCTACTTTCAAAATAGATTCCGAAACCGGCAAGGATTAAGTGAGGAACCTTAGCCTTTAAGTTTTTAGCTGGAGCTCCTGTTTCTCAGTCTGTGTTGGCTTCAGCACGTATCAGCTAAAATGTATAAAGTAAAATGAGTTCTAGGAAATGGGATGTTGGCTTTGGATACTTCATCTGAGTTTTTGATTTTATTGTTTATAAATGCGATCCTTTTACATGTTTTATAAAATTAAAATCTGTTTGAGAGCATTCATGATATGGCACAATCAAGACAAATGAATTTAACCACTTGAAGACGGCTTCCTTTTGTTTTCTAAATTTGCTATATTTTTTCATTTTAACTACAAACTGGAAGGCTAGATTGACTGCATTCTTACAAAAAGTGACCTGGCCCTCCCAATCCTGGTTGGAGTATGGATGGTGAGTCTACTCACCATCACAAAATGAAACAAAACACTAGTACACAAAATTTCTACTCAAGCAGCAATCAGAAGTATGATAGAACTAAACAGTCTCTGGCCAAAAAAAAAAATACTAAGGAAATTCTAGAGTAGTAAAAAGATGCCTCTCAATTGAAATGACAGAATTATAGAAGTGGCTATAAATAATAAATATCACATAGGTTCAGAAAACAGACGACTAATAGATTTTCTCCAAGTTAAGCACACACATTGTTTTAAATTGCTATTAATAATTTAAAATTTATATGGTCAAATTTTACAATTCGTTCTCAAAAAACTATAGCCCACTAACATGAAACCTGGCTAAAGATGGATAAATATGCTTTTCCTTCTTCCTTTCTAGAAACATAAACAAATCGTCTGTGTCTATCTTTCAGTGTCAAGAGAATAGTTATAGGACTCCCTCCTTAATTTAAGGATATATGAATAAAAATAGTGAGAAGTTGTCACAATGGTGATGACAAAAAACATATTCATTTTCTACTTTTTAATCAAAGTGGCTGAAGAAAAGAAAACAATGAAAGATACGGTACAGGGTGAAATGGTTAAAGTAACTTCATTTTAATATTTGCCTTGTAATACTCACTAATATTTAGCAAGTGCTTACTATGACTCAGATAAAACAAAGACTAAGACTGTTTCTATCCTAGAAGAACTCACAAACTAAGGATAGGCAAGTATAAAACAACCATAACACAAGGCAAAATATTATAAATAACTTATAAGGAGTCTGGAGAACTGTAGTGAATCAAAGAAGACAAGACTAGTCTTCCTTGTTGGAGGAAGAATCAAAGAAGATGTCATTTCAACTGGGTCTTGAAGAAGGGGTGGAATTCCAACAAAGATGGGGTAAGTTGTAGTTGAGAACAGAAAAAAGATGGGTGAGGAGGTTCAGAGATGACATTTGTATGCCTACTATGTTCTAGATGCTATGCTGGTGTTTTTATACATTAGCTCATGCAAATCTCACAACCTTGGGAAATTGGCGTTATCTTTCCCATTTTGAAGATGGAAGAACTGGGTCAAAAAGATTAAGGAATTTGCCAAATATCACAAGGCAGTGAAGTCAGATATTCAAGAGATTCTGTCTGGTGCCAGAGCTCATAGTTTTCATTATATAATACACTAGCAACACGAGTAAAAGTAAAGCCAGCCAGTTCAGGCCTATTCTTTGAACTACAAGCAGTGTAATCTGCCTACCATGAGTCAGTGTCTATGATGGTGGGAGTAAGTCTGGGAGGCAGGTCAGGCCCACAGCATGCAGGCCTTTAAAAGTCAACCTTGTTAAGATCACTTCAATAAATATAAAGTATAAGCATAAGAAACTGTACTTGGTGGAGGGATAATTACAATACTTGCAATTACAGAAATGTATGTTCAATTTTCAAAAGCATGGGGGGGCATGATTAACATTGTCAATGGTCAATGAAGGAGAAGAGCGGAAAATGTCAACAAAGGTTTTTCGGAGATACACCCTCGGCAGGTGTATTACTAGGCAGTTATACTATCCAAAATAAAACAAAAGTTGTAGATCTAAATACACAAAAACATGTTTAACACTGCTGGCATTTATGACTCTGAAGCCTTTCTGCCCCCTCACTCAAATTACTGTTTATTTCTACAGCATAATTAAGACAGACTGATTACGGCAGCTAGCCTGAGTGTAACCCAGGTTTACAGTATGCAAACTGACAGAGGCCCCTGTTCAACCACTGGGGCTCACACATCAGAGCTGTGGGTTCTGAGAGGGCCCAGTACTGGTGCGTACAATTTTAAAAAATCCCTCTTCGCCTTTCTCACAAAGATCTACTGCCCTGGACCAAAAAACGAAAAGCAAAACAACAAACAAACAAAAAATCAACTTGGTGAGCTAAAGAGAACCTTTCATGGGAATTATGCAAGTGGAAAAACATTATGACGGCAGGTTTTACGTAGGTGCCATGTACGGGGGTAGGAATAGGAGGAGAAAATGCTGTTTAAAAAAACACACATACGAGAACCTTAACTGTACACAGTATGTGCAGTATATGAGGGACTTGCACAAACGCTATCTTCTTTGAATCTCAAAACAGCATTATAAACTATTATTATCCTTATTTTTTTAAAGGTAAGGAACACAAGGATTAGAAATGTAGAATAAATGCCTTGCAGTCACCAAGAAAGGAGCAGCTCTGGTTCCAGTCCCAACACTCTTTCCTGTGGAAGCCAACTATACCAAATAAAGTGCCATGAGCTCAAGGACGCTATTTGGTTATTTTTTAAGAAAAATCTTAACAGAAGACTACATTCAATAAAACATGTAATTAATGCTTATGTTTATTCTGTCACGAAGACATACTAGTCTTCAATTTTTACTTACAGTACTTCTATGATAGAAAGAAAACAAACACAGAAATAGTAAAGGGATAAGAGAATATGAGGCAGATGAGGTGAAATTAAGTGGCAACAGTACATACTTTAGGTGCCTCTTAATGATTAATAAGAAGGCTAATCTACCAAGAAATTACCTGAATAGTGCAAGCAACATCTCTAAAAACAAACAAAAGACCAGTAGAAAAAGGTACAAAAAATACTATGACTATCACTTAAGTTAGGCTATTTCCTTTTGCATTTTGGAGTAGAAGGTAAGATAGAATTTTAATACAGTAACAAAATGTAGATACCTAGCTATATCAAGAAAACAGTAACAAAATGCAGATACTAGATATATATATATATTTCTGGCTTTATGTACTAATATGTTCAATCAGTGATATGGCAAGAAATAAAGGGGAAACATATTTTACTAAGAGAAACCCTTCAATTCTACAACCTTGAGTATCTAAAATGGAAAAAATGGTGTATTACCTGTTGGTAAACCCAGTGTAAAATATCTGTCCTGTCCAGGTTTGAACTGAATGATGCGATTACAGATGTATTTGGCTGCCCATTCACTAGCCAAGTCATAGTTATCAAGAATTACAAGCCTCATTATGGTGATGCACAGCTTCCAGGACAAGCAGTTCAAACCTGAGAAAATTCCATTGTAGAGCACTTTAAGCAATTTATAGACAAACAAGTGTAATACACTGATGATATTAATAACGACATTACTTAAGAAAGATATGTATGTATACAACCACAATCTGTACTTTTAAAATAGTAATAACAGCTGTTCTCTTTTGAACAGACCTTGGGTTCTAGGCAGTGGCCTAGATCATTTTAGTACATATATTAATCCTTACAACAATCTTCTGAAGTAAATATAATGCCTGGTTTTAGATGAGGGGAAGGACTCACACAATGCGATTGAGGTCACACAGTTAATTAGTGACAAAGCCAGAATTCTCATCAAGGCAAACTTACTATCAAGACACCACACTGCACTGTCTCTACAGGGATACTGTACAAAACAAAACTAAAGGAAAACAAAGCAGTACTCATTTCTTGATTGCAAGTTAATGGTAGTAATGATTACTCAGCAACTTTTGGGTTACTTACTAAAATCCAGAATTCTCCCTATAAATAATGTAATAAACAACCTTCTCTTTTAAATAAGGTTTTCATAAAAATGATACCCACACTTATAAAAAATTTCAATCAATATAGAAAGGTACAAAGAAGTTAAAAAAAAAATTGTCCCAAATCCTACCACTCAGAAGTAATTCTCATTAATATTAGGTATACATCATTCCAGATATCTATCTAATGCACACATATAAACAGGACGTATAGAAATAATTTTTAACAATGGGATCATATTAATCATGCTATTTTTTAATAAAAAGCACAACATTTAATTCTTCCTGCATTCAACAGAAGAAAAAGTGAACTAAAAAAACTGCTGATCTCTGGGGAAAAGAAATTTCTTCACAAAAAGCAATTTTAGTTCCTAATACTCTAAGGTTAAGAAAAAATATTATACAAATATTAAAAAATCAGAGTCATTTAAAAACTATATGATTACATTTTAGACAATGTGGTTTGAACTACTATCACGAAAGATGTGAAAACTACATTCTTACACTTTCTCACACTCCCTGATTTCTGTAATACATCACAGAATTATTTTTATATTGTCAAGATTTATAACATTTACACTGTTTTACAACCATAATTCTCAGATTTTAATTCTTAGTTTATACTTAAATGAATCCATCACCCACACCAATCCTTTTACAAATGGCTTCAGCAGTCCTGAATTGTGTACCCCCACACTTTACAGACAGTAATAAGTCAAACGCTTTAAATTAATGGGAGTAGTAGGTCTTATTACAATGAATATATGGAATCTAAATGAATATAATCTAAATGAACAGAAATCTAAATGGAATCTAAATCCTTAAGAATACAATGATTTAGAATTCTGGCGTAACATAAAAAATTATGATCACCATGATTTAGAATTCTGGCATAGTCACAAGAAATAAACAGCATTTACAGACAATAATTTACATAGTAAGTCATAAAATCAGTCCAACAAATGGACTTGGCCTCCATTCATTAATAATCTAATGCCAGAAACAATTTCAAAGTTACACCAAAGAATCAATATTTCCTGGCTGTTATGACCATCAAGAGATATACTTCTAATAAGAATATTCAGTAAGCTGATTATTGATTTAAAAAAAAGCAAAAAACCTGTAAGGTAAGGAGGAGGAAAGGCATTAGAGCTTTCCAAGGGTCTTCTGTGTTGTGGGCATGCTATCTCTTTTCTCAGTTCAACACTTTCCTGAAGGCCTATTCAATGCCAAGCGCTAAGCTAGGTTTTGTAGACCAAAAATGATTAAGATTAAAGTTCCTACTATTAAAAGGCTTAGAATCACTTAATAGTCTCTGGGGTAGAAATTATCATCCTCATTTTTCAGACAAGGAAAATGACAACTCAGTAGTTTCTTGCTGAAGTTATAAAGCTATTAAGTGCTGGAGGGTCTACGTGACTGAAAGATCCATGCTCCAAAATGGTCTTCTAAGTAAGAACCACTTCGGATGCTTACTAAAATATAGATTCCCAGGCCCCTCTCCCCGGACATAGTGTTTCAGAAGATCTGAAATGGGGCCCAGGGAATCTGCATTTTCACAAATATCACAGGCGATTATTACAATCAGGATAAATTTGGTAAAGAACACCATACATGGTGACTTCATTGCAAAGAGGTTCAACTAGATCCCTCAGAACAGGTACAGGCAAGTTCTGCTTTTTTTCTAAACTCTCCAGAAAGCTCAGAGTTCACTTCCAAAAGTCCCAAATGAATCACGTCACCCAGAGGAAAACAGAATGTTTTCGACATATGTATTCAGATTAAAACGTGTTCTTGCCAATCCCCGGAGATCCAGACTGCTGTGGCCCTGGGCAATTCTCTGGCATCACGACCGGATAGCACTCAAAAAATGACACAGCACCACCCCTTCCCTCATCTTCCTCTGGTGCTGATTCATTTTGGATGTGCAAAACTTGGAGAAAGGGCTGCCGAACACAGATCTCAGAACTTCAGAGCTGAATGGGAACTTCTACACGGCTGAGGTTACAGTCAGTCTGGAATCGATACTCGAATCTAGAATCTAGACTTCCAGAATCCCCGCCCTGAGCTTTTCCCTACACCACACCACACCTGACCTCAGAAGGGCTCTGAAGCTCCAGCAGGCAGGGGCGTGAAGGGCAGGGGTGCCGGATCCCGATGAGGGGCGAGGAGCAGCAGAGGAGTCTGTGGTCCCTGCCCGGGAGGCGGGGGCTGCAAACCCACCTCCCCCGCGAGGCTGCTGGGCCCAGTCACCTGGCAAACTAGCACGAACGCAAACCAGGATGACTGTTCCAAATTTTTTACAAGTGTCAGGAGAAAGCCACCAGGGAAGAGGGAACAGGGAAGTCCCCTCCCGGAGGCCCAATTCCGAAGAGGACGACCCGCCAAGTTTGAGGGGGGCCAGGCTGGGGATGCCACGCGCCCCCCCTTCCCCTGCCTCGAGCCTCCCGGTACCCCAGTTCGTCCCGGGTCCCGCGTCCCCAAATACGCAAAAAGCCTACCAGAGAGGGCAATGGCCAGCCGGCTCCTCGCCCGACTCCCTTTCTTGGTCCACACCCCTGGACTCACCGGCCGAACACCAGCTCTTCCGACGCTGGAACAGCGGGAACAACCAACACCCAGTAACCCCGAGCGACCCCAGCCGGCGAGTAGAGCGCAAAGCCCAGGGACCCGGATGCAAACCGCGGCGCAGAAGGGACGGCAGCGCGGCCTGGCGGGTGCTGCGCACGCGCGTGCCTGGGGCTCGCTGGGGATGAGCCGCGTAGAGGTTGGTTGGAGTCCCTGCAGCAGGAAGCGTCTCCAACGTGGGAGTCTCCAGTGCGTGGGCTATCATCTTGCCCCTACTCTTTTTTCACCTCTTAGAAGTTGAATTGAGGTCGATTCTTTGGGTTTATGAAATTTAGCATGTGGGACTGCAATGCTCATACGTAAGCATTAATTTAGTTGTTGCTTGTAATGGCAATATGCGTTCTCTCTCTCTCTACCCCAAGCTATTGAATGCCTCCTTTTTTTTGTTGTTGTGGTAACATTGGTTTTAACGTTATATAAATTTCAGGTGTACGTCATTATACTTCTGTTTCTGCATAGATTACATCGTGGTCTCATGTTCACCACCCAAATACTAATTACAGTCCATCACTACACACATGTGCCTAATTATCCCTTCTGCCCTCCTCCCCCCCTCCTCCCCTCTGGTAACCACCAATCCAATCTCTGTCTCTATGTGTTTGTTTGTTGGTGTTATTATCTACTACTTAATCGGTGAGGTTGTCTGGTATTTGACCTTCTCCCTCTGACTTATTTCACTTTGCATAATACACTTAATGTCCATCCATGTTGTCACAAATGGCTGGATTTCATCGTTTCTTATGGCTGAGTAGTATTGAATGTCTACTTTGTAAGCAGTGACAGCTAAGCGCTTATCAATAAGCTCCTGAAACAAAGGTTTGTTACGTGCTGCGGAAAGGCAAAGTGTATGCTGCGGGAAACCTTGGAGCCACTTAGTAAGAGTAAACTAGAAGGAGGTGTTAGTGGGGTATAGACTCGTGCTGAATGAGTCTAAGGAGTAGAGGAAGCAGAATCACAGATCTTTATTCAGGAGGGAGAAGGAAGGAAGCATGGCTGGGGAAGTTGTTGTTGACAAAGCAGCCGTCACTCCAAAGAAGAGTCACTATGTCCCATTAGAAACACTATTTAGAGTTCTGTTAGAAACAATACAATCTGACTACCAGCATGGCCTGACAGACAGACTCAAAGTGCTGTTTCCTTGGACACTACGGAGTTAAGATAAATGTGACACGTAGTGTCCCCAAACTCCTTATCCGAAGTTCTGCACCTGAGTTGTAAATCCAGCCTGCTTCTCTGAGTCAAATGGCCCCTTTTGCTTGCATTCTTTACGCAAGAGTAGGAGGCTCTATTCTCAATGATATAACTTCAAACAGCAAAGTTTCTCATAAACTGATATTAGAGGACAAGGTTTCTTAGCACTATAGCCTTAAGTTAGTTTACAAAAGCACTAACACCATCCCAGTACTGTAATTTATCGTCTAACAAAAACCTATTGTGCATCTACTGGGGTCAAAAAGATCTGCAAATAATAAAAAGAGCTTTTCAGGGAATATTATTGGATTATAGAGGGATATTAGTAAAATGTATTCTTTCTCATAACCCTGTTATGTAAAACAGGCACACAGTCCTTGCCCTCAGTGAACTGAGAGTGTTATGGGGATACAGACATCACCTAGTAAATCCTAAGAAGGCAAAGTCGTCTCAGTCGGGACTATCTCTAATTGAGATAGTCCTTTATGTTTGGAGATGACCTGAGCATAGAAAGGACCTGTGTCTCGTCCTCTAAATAGAGCCCCAAGGAAGGGCAAGATTCACAGAAAGTTTCTCTGAACCAAAGTTTTGGATGGAGAGTTTGGTAGGAAAGTTTTAACAGGCTGTCACCCAGGGAAGGTGACAGATTTACAGAGGCATAGGAGCAGTACAGTGGAGGTGGCTATGGAGGTGATAGGAAAATATGCCTGATGATAGCCCTGATCTACTGCACATTACAGAGAGAAGCATCAGACAGCAGTCATACCCTGTGATCTGAGTAGCTGACATAGAGCCAAAGTTAGCCGACAGAGAGCCTGAAGTCGTTTCAGTCAAAATGGATCATTCAAATGGAGGCCAATGGACAAAAGATGTTTCAGCAGATACCAATGGGGATATATCCTGAAGACTAGAAACACACAGGAAGAGATTCCTCTTCATTGCAGTGGATGTTGACCCCAGAACAGATGCCTCTGCTGATGTAGGTAACTACAGTAGCCTCCTTATTACCTTAGATGCTATCCTGAGCTGAAGGTGAGGAAGAAGGATACTCAGAAAGGACAGAATTTGCATTTGAAATGACTAAGAAAACACTAAAACAATTAAATGAACCTGAAAATAACTGATGTAAGTTTCCTGCTCTCATGAGAATGGGGCTTGAGGAAAGATTTAAGTAAAAATTATATTAAAGATCTATATTATATAGAGTTATTACAGAAAAAAACGAGCAGATTGGAATACATGGCCTATGAAATTTCTGTATGCTGCACAATGTTTTAGCGAGATATACTGTGATGAGATTTGTATGTAAAAGAAGAATCACCCTGTCTGCCTGTAAAGAACAGACTGAAGTTGGATCAGGAGTAGATCAGGGTAAGCTGGATTTTGGCAGAAACAGAATACAGAGGAGGACCCTCTAAGCCCAGAAAATAGCTTGCACAAGGTATGCAGGTGGGAAAGTAAAAGACATACCTATGGGATTTCTGAGTGACTCATGTGGCTAAGCGTAGGATGTATTTCAAAAACTAGCAGAAATTGAGTCTGGAAAGACAGATCCAGGTGAAATGAAGTACCTTGTAGGCTATGCATATAAAGTTAGACTTTATATTGTAGGCTAAAGAGAACCACTTAAGCTTTATGAATGCAATAAGAGACTAGCAGATTGTGTTTTAGGAAGAAGGAGGTAGAATGGGTGGGGATTGTGATACTGGCCCAAGACAGGGTTGACATGAGGGAAGCTGTGTTGTAGAAAAGAAACCCGACTGTAGCTTTGAATGACCTCTGACTGACTAACCCAGCTGGATATGCACCCTCCAGGAGATCTAACTGCTCTGTAGATTTTACAACCCCTCCTTGTGCATGTACCTTCCAGCTGCGATAAGATGATAACTTTGTTCTTTTGAGTTCCTTAGGAATGTGATGACCCCTGAACAGAGAGTCTACACTGATAGCCATCATCGATGAAAAGTGAAAGATTTGGTGTGGTGACTCCCAGTCTGTAACGCCAGAAGATCAACATTCCTAACCTCCTCCCTTATAACCCATAGGCCTATATAACTGCTGTAAGATTTTGTGCCCCCTTAAGATGGTTCTTTCAGACATGAGTCAGTCATTTTCCCCCTTGCTAGCAAGCTGTAATAAAAAGTCCTTTCTTTCCTACCACCTTGCCTCTTGACTATTGGCATGCCTTGCGGCGGGCAGACGAACCCCCTTTTTGGGCAGTAACAATTGTATTATAGCAGCAAAAATCCAGACACAGAAAGACTCTAGGCTCATTTTGTATTTTCCCTGCCCCAGCCCTAGTATCAGGCATTTCACTATTGGCTGATAGCTTTTTTTTTTTTTTTTAACCAAGAAAGGATGTTAGGTTTTACTAAACATTTTCCATACATCTATTTAAATGATGATATGGCTTTCCCTTTTAGTCTGTTGGTGAATTACAGTGATTGATTTTTGAATGTTAAATACACCTGGCATTGCTGAGGTACACCTAACTTGGGCATGTTTTTTCTTGGTCGTAGTCATGGTCTTTCAGCCTGTAGCAGCTAAACATTTGCCTGTAAAGTTTTTGACAAGTGCCCTTTTCCCCTGGGAGTGGCTTTAGCCCTAGGCAAGAGTTCAGAGTTGAACAAAACAAAGACAAGCATTTTACTGGTTTCTTTGAGTGTTCTTTTATCTTAAACAGAGGGGAATGAGGGTTTGAAAGTGCTGCAACCTGGTTTTGCTCCCTATAGTACTGGGAAGGTAGGCTGTTTTTTGTTTTTATTTTTGAGACTACCATTGATCTGGGAGCAGGAGATGGGACTAGGGTAAAACACCACAAAACTCACTGTTCTTACTATTATTCAGCTAATTATCCTGAATAAGCCCTCTCCAAGTTGCTGGAAGTCTTTCATTAATCTCTAGAGTTTTCAGAAAGTTGATTTTGATAATTTGCCAGTTTTCTCCTTGCTTTTAGGGGGGCTGATTTTTGGATATCTTTACCCTCTCACTTTTGCTGATGTCCTCAATTGATTACTTTTTGAGAGAGCTTTGATAGTTTGTCTCTCAAGGAACTTTTAAATTTCTGTTGCCAAAATTATTGGCATAACATTGCTTATAATATTTCTTTGTTATCTGTGCAATCCACAGTGATCTCGCCTCTCTAATTTCTGATTTGGTAATTTGTATCTTTATTTTTTCTCCTTAATCACTGTGGTTAGATGTTTATCAATTTAATTGATCTTCTCAAAGAACCAAATTTTGGATTAGTTGTTTTGCATTGCTTTCTGTTTTCTATTTCCTTGATTTCTACTCTAATCTTTATTTCCCTAGGTCTGCTTACTTTGGGTTGAATTTTCACTTCTTTTTGTAGTTTCTTAAAGTGGAAGCTGAGATCATTGTTTTGCAGCATTTGTTATTTTCTCATATAGACTTGTAGTGCTACATATTTCCCTCAGAACTGCATTAGTGGCGTCCAACAAATTTTGATATCTTGTCTTTTCATTTTCATTCAGCAGAAAATTCTTTCTAATTTCTTTTTTGATTTCTTCTTTGACCCGGGGGTTATTTAGAAGTGTGTTCTTAATTTCCAAATATTTGAGTCTTTTTCAGATATCTTTCTGTTTTTGATTTCTATTTTACTTCATATGTGGTCAGAGAGTATCCTTGGTATGACTTGATTCTTTTTAAATATATTAAGACTTGTTTGTGGTCAAGAATATGGTGTATATAATGTGAATTCTGCTGGTTTTGGGTGGATTGTCCTGTAAATAGCAATTAGCTAAAGCTAGTTGATAATGTTCAAGTCTCCTATATCCTTACTGATTTTATGTCTTCTTTTTCTATCAATTAATGAGAAAGAAGTGTTGAAATTAC